AGATAAGGCGCAGAGTACCCGTAATTATATCAGCTATCCACGGTATATCAAAATTCTGAAAACCCCTGAATGGTTTTTGAGAACATTCGAGTACAGTTTTCTTTTCATAGCCTGGGCCGAGGGGAACGGTACACACTCATTTGTCATAACAAGCAATTTCTAGCAAGTCATATGTTTTTGACACTATTTAATAGAAAAATACATGTTAAATCTGATATATTAACTATGTCCAATGTATCGAGTGAACGCAGTGATGATTTAGCATATTTTCATAAAGTTATGTTGAAATGGTACGGAACACACTGTTATTTCTAAAGATACGGTACACACACAATTTCTGTCTATGTAATAATTCTAAAATAAAATATATTAAAATTTAATTTCATTTATAATGTGAGTGATTTTTTTTCACAGTTATACATTTTATTAATTTAAACGAGAACCCAGGGACCTGTTTTGCAATGTATCATAGTGCTTACTTTAAATGTTTATATGTATTTGTGCATTATATTTCAAGAGATCACGCTTAACATTTACAACCTCCATGTAATTGTCCTACATGTATTTAAAATCACCTAGGGTATGTTAAACACTTCGACCTTCAAAGAATCAGGTAGTTGCGCTCTATAGAAAAAATGTTGTTATATAATGCTGTGTTTATTGTTCTTTATTGTTGTTTTTTTTATTTCTTTTAGTTTAAGTTATATGTCTTTTTGCTTCATCCTGAAAATTAAACAAGGACATGACCTAAATCGCTGGAAAGTATCATTATACTTGATAACAATTTACATATATTTATTTTTTGTTAATAATAAGCAAGTCATTAGGTACAATTTTGCCATATCATAGTCATGTTTAATTAAATCAAATCATAGAAGGCGCTGAATTTGTTTGGGTCTCAGAATGTCAGAAAGGGGAAGGCTGTGAGATTGTAAACCAATTTGTTTTTGTATAGTGCCACCAATGTTGTTTCTATTGTCATAACTGTAGTAAATTGGCTAGAAGGCTTATTGCAACACTGATATGTAATTCATTGTTTATTTGGCTTAAACAATTAAAAAACAAAAACAAAACAAAAACAGGAGTTGCCTTAACTTGGATTTGAACTCAGGACATCTCTCTTCATAAACGAGCATGTAACCCCTCGACCACGGGGAAGTTATAAGATAACAGCCTGAAGAAAACCATATCATTCTAAATTAGGGTTTGTAACCCTTATTAATTTCGTTTGACACTGATGTAAATAATCATGGAGCTTAATATTACATGTATGTCTGTAAAGAATTACACAATATTTGAAATCTTTGACCAATCGGAACTACCTTTTCTTTTCCCGAGAAGGCTTGAAAATTAATGCTCCCGTCATTTGACAATCTTAACACAGTGATCCCCCTTATTTTTTAAGTAACCGCTTCTAGGGGTTCGGATTACTTTCTTATTTTGCAAATAAACATATCAGAGCCTGAAATTTCGCTACCATTATTTGTTTGGTCTGACGACCCAAACAAATAAAAATTTAGTCGCCATTGCTTAATTTTTTAATGTTCATAGGCACGAAGCTTTAAAAATAACTTTTAATTCATGTAATTAGGTCATTTTTGGTTAGGTTTCACGGCTCATAAAACTGACATTATCATGTGGCGACTTTCGTGTTTTACAAGTGCCCCTTTGGGTTTAAATAAAGGAAAGAACGGGCACCTGAGTAAAACGACCGACATTCTGTACGGTACTAAGAAAACTTTCTCACATAAAAAATCGAAACATCTAAGTCACTTGTGGTCTCGTACCTACTTCATGTAGTATATAAAACAGAACGCAGCCTCCAAAATCCATAGCATTTGATTGACAAAATGGGTATTATTAAAATATCATTTTATTTTTAACACAAACACGCAAGCACACATATCCATGAACTCAAGTGTTAAATGTATCTTGAAATAAAAATTAAGATAGGCATAATTTTACCAAATTTCCTAACATGTATACCTTACATGTATATGTAACAAGGTTACCTTGTATAAACTACGTTACGTTATATAACAGGCCTTGTACCCATATGGGTTCTTCAAATTATTAATTTTGATTGCACGTGTAACTGCGAAATATAATTGTCCATATGTAAATAATTTGATAATTTAGATACATGCAGTTAGATTGGGACCCTGGCAGATGATTCATACCAAATATCATGTGGCCGAAAAAAACTTTAAACTTTCCGTGATTTAAAAAAATCCACTTACATCAAAACCAGCGTTTTTTCTCCAAATTAAACAACATTTTGCAAGGAACATATATTTCCAACTTACTCCTAACTTCTTGTTTGTTTATATATTCATACTACGTTTAGACAGTCATTTATATATTCGAACAAACAAATTATATAAAATAATAATCGCACATAACAGATGTCCATGAATTTCATAATTCGTTTTATAATCCAAAAGAATATACCTAATTGTTTCAAATGAAAATCAAAACAAAACAAAATTTTGAATGTCTTCCGTATCCCTCCCTAAAATTTTAACATTTTATAGCCAAAAATTAATTGCTCAACATATAAAATCGAATTTTGCGCAACGTACTCTCAAAATGTTCTTTTATTTTTTTCAATAATCCTGTTTGTAAACATCAAACTGTAGGCATAATGATACTTTGCAAAACAGGTCCCAGGGTTCTCGTTTAAATTAATAAAATGTATAACTATGAAAAAAATCATTCACTTTATAATTGAAATTATTTTTTATATACATTTTATTTTAGAATGTTTCAAAGACAGAAATTGTGTGTGTACCGTATCTTTTGAAATAACAGTGTGTTCCGTATCATTTTAACATAACTTTATGAAAATATGCTAAAACATCACTGCATTCACTCGATACATTGGACATAGTAAATATATCAGATTTAACATGTATTTTTCTATGAAATAGTGTCAAAAAACATATGACTTGCTAGAAATCGCATGTTATGCCAAATGAGTGTGTACCGTTCCCCTCGGCCCAGGCTATGAAAAGAAAACTGTACTCGAATGTTCTCAAAAACCATTCAGGGGTTTTCAGAATTTTGATATACTGTGGATAACTTATATAATTACGGGTACTCTGCGCCTTATCTCATCAAAATCGGTAAAGTAATAAATAAGTTATGAAGAAAAAACATACCTGAATCGGGTGAAAAATCGGCGTGTTCCGTACCCGAAAAGTCACGTGGTATGGCCACATTGTATATGTCGCCACTAACGGTATCTATTTTCTTACTTTACTTTATCTTATTAAAGGGAGATAATTAAGACCGCATTGAATGCTCTGTAATGCATACATGTATATAAATTTGTGTCCAGAGCAGGGCAATTTTTTTATCCAAGGTTAATCAATTATTTAACTTAAGTAGAGGATCTACAAGGTAATTCTACATCCCAAATATCTAAACTCAGTTAGATACTTTTAGATAATTTTAGTTTTACAAAAGAAGACTTAAATGTATTTTCCTGTATAAGTCTATGTAAACTAAGTGACCTCTGGGATGGAGCCAAGCATAGTTTGAACAAAATTGGCAGAGGTACACTAATAAGAATAATTAATGACCCTTGGTGCGGGGCCAATTTTGACCCCAAGGCTATAATATGAACAATTCTTGTAGAGTTTCATGAGATAATGCTACACATAAAATAGCTAAGCTCCAGACCTTGCATTTTCAGAGTAATTTTTTTTCAGATTTCATTTTAAAAATCTATTTTAGCCCTTACCAAGATGGAGCGAAAGGAACATCCGATGAAAATTTCATTGAATTTGACCCAGTGGTTTCTGAGAAGAAGTCGGACGACGGACGCTCCGACGGGCGGACGATGAACGCCGGCAAATTGTGATCTTGAGCTCTTTGTGTGTGCTCAGGTGAGCTAAAAATAGTTTCCGTATTTCTAATAGTCTTCACTAACTTGCTGGACCGTTTTTAATTTTCAAAGCGTGGCCTAGATTATACTTGAATATAGAAATAATTTATAATTTACAGTGCATTTCAGTCTATTGATTGTAAATTAGCCATAATTTTGCTTTAATTAAATAGTATATAAAATGTTTGATGTATTTTCAAGAAAAAATCGAAGCTTTTTCTTAATTCGACTGCCTTCGTAATTAACTCCCAGGCTAATTACATGAGGTTTAACCGGCGAAATTACGGTAAAGGCATTTTAAATCAATCGTACTGTCGAGTATCGCGTTTCAGATCAAACCATTCATAGGCGATGGCCCTAACGGCATTCCGGAATGCCGTTAGGGCCATCGCCTATGAATGTGTTAATCTGAAACTCGATAGTCGATAGTACGATGGTGAAAACACGAAATCACGAAACTACGATGGTGAAAACACGATAGTACGATGATGAAAACGCGATAGTACGATGATGAAAACGCGATAGTACGATGATGAAAACACGACGGTACGATGTTGAAAACGCGATAGTACGATGATGAAAACACGACAGTACGATGATGAAAACGCGATAGTACGATGGTGAAAACGCGATAGTACGATGATGAAAACACGACAGTACGATGATGAAAACGCGAAATGACGAAACTACGATGGTGAAAACGCGAAAGCACGATGATGAAAACGCGAAAGTACGATGATGAAAACGCGACAGTACGATACTACGATGATGAAAACGCGATAAACTATCGTGTTTTCACCATCGTACTGTCGCGTTTTCACCATCGTAGTTTCGTGATTTCGTGTTTTCATCATCGTACTGTCGTGTTTTCATCATCGTACTATCGCGTTTTCACCATCGTACTATCGCGTTTTCATCATCGTACTTTCATCATCGTACTATCGCGTTTTCACCATCGTACTGTCGTGTTTTCATCATCGTACTATCGCATTTTCATCATCGTACTATCGCGTTTTCACCATCGTAGTTTCGTGATTTCGTGTTTTCACCATCGTACTATCGACTATCGCGTTTCAGATAAACACATTCATAGGCGATGGCCCTAACGGCATTCCGTAGCTAACTCGGTAGCCATGTTTAAGATAACATTCATTTCTATTTTTAAACCATCGGAAATGAAAGTGCTCAGTTCAATATAGGAGGAATAAAAATGAAATATGCCAAAATCAATCGGGATTTGTTCGTGTCCTTGTGCAAACAAAGACACAATAGCGGATCTTCTTTTGTGTGCTCCATGTCCTCCGCCCATATTGTCATATGGGGATTTCCGTGACCATGCACTTAGTGGAGGTTTACAGATTCACTCAGTTTGTGTAATTGCTAAACGGTGTAACATTTATGGAATTGATAAAAATGACTGCCCACCAGAAATCGCATTGGCTGTGTTTCCTTTTGTATTACTCGGTGTTTTATTTGGATTGTTATTATTGTTTCTTTTTATTTTGTGAGTATAACTTGTCTAAATTTAGACTGAACTTTTGATAACAACCGACCTACAAAACGAAATAATAATACCAACATTTTTACATTTCCCGTGTTGGTATACAAAGTATTGATTAATAGGGTTTTTGTTTGTTTTACTGTTTTATGTACTAGTATTTCATACAGTTCTGTGTAACTATATACGCCATTTGTTAGACAGACGATCGATTTATACACTATTATACGTTGTAGGCAACGCTCACGGCTAATTGTTTAATTAATATATGAAGCAAATCAAAACAAACGTTTAGAGCTACTCTTGCTTAAAATAACAAAATGTATTGGATTGATTACGCGTATTAAAACCCGGTAGAAAATAAACTCTTTTCATTTAACATAATATATAATTAAATACCAGCTTGAATTTTCATTTTCAGTTTTATATGGAGGAAACGTCGACAGAGAACGCAGGTAAAGAGCGTTATGTTTGTGTTAATACGCTTTAGTGCGTAAGTTCGACCCAAAGTTAAATTAATGTATATGAGACGAATTTAAACCGTCTTAAGATACTTGTATATAACTTGTACAAATATTGTTATAATTCACAAATAAGTGTGATAGACACTAAATTTTATTAAAACATACAATTCCTTATATGTGTAGGTTAAGTACACTTTTCTTATTTTGTGCAAAACTATGAAAATGGTTGAAATTTCATTAAAGCAGGTAAGCAACTGCCTATGAAAATAAACCATACATTCACATGTACGATTAAACCTTGCACTAATCAACCGCTGGTGAAATTGTTTTAACATTAATATTTTGTTTCATTCTTTGGTATATGTTTTTTTTTCTCAATCTGTTGCAGAGGTTTGATGTAGTTGGACATGATGTTGAATTAAGTGAAGCATTAAATAAAGACAAGTATGTGATGTCCCCTCAGGAGCATGCTAGTGAAAACATTGAACACTCTGCTAGACTAAGTGCAAACGTTGAGCACTCTGAAAGTGAAGACGTTGAATCGGACGAAGAAGTATATTACCCTGCAGAGGAAGAAATATCTTCTGTAAAGGTCCAATCCACAAGTGCAATACAAACTGACTCTACAGATTTTCCAAAACATTCAAGTCAGTTCGATAAATCAAATCGAATATCCCCTGAGAAAACAATACCAAAGTTAATATCAACTAACCAAAAGCATTTTGCAAATAGTGATCCATCAGAATCGACTGGCATTAAATATTCAGATGACAATGACAGCAGTTTAGGAGATGATGACGAAGACATTCCATTTATTGACTGTGAAAATGTAGATTGTGCAGGGCAAAGCTAGCACAGGATTCTCTCACATAAATCTCACATTAACATACCACGTGTTCACTGTATTTCCCATGATTTCATTGTAAGCATCAGCTTTTAGAAATAACATATTTACGTTATAATTACATTTTTGTGTGTTATAAACGTTCCGTTGAGCCTTAAAGTAGATGTAATGTATTTTGGTTGATGAAATGGCTGTGAAAATCGTATTTACATTAATGATGTTATCAGGAAAATATATTTGTTTTACTTTTGTAAAATACATAAGTAGGTGATGCATTAGTGGGTGAGGTTATATTTTTATGCAGTTTTAGTAAACATTTAGTAATCATATGCTAACTCTTTATCATTGATTGACCCTATAATTGTGTTATTTATTATTTGATATTGCTAGTCATGATATATTTAAAACAATTTTAAAATTTACAATAAATATTAATATGTAAACTGGCTTCCTGATTCTGTATACTTTTTAATGAAATCCGAGGTACCATGTAATGCAGGCATCATTTTCTCAGCAATTGCAACAGCAAAAGTTCGGGATTTTTACGGATAAATGTACATACTAGTTTCAGAAAAACAAACTTTTAAAACTTTTGCAATTATTTCTAGGTTGACCTCCATATAAGGGTATATTGACTAGACTAGTACAATTTATACAAGCTAATGTGTTAGTATTAACCTACTACTATAAGAAAAAGTGCGTAATGAAAATATCAGTCTGCGTAATTTCTGTTCTGAAAATAATTGATATGTAATATGCAAGAAAAAGAATCAAACACAGACGGGAATATCTAGCTCTCGAGTAACTGTTTAGCGGTAACTTGGCAGAGCCTCGTTACCGCCGTAAACAGTCACCCTCGAGCTAGATATTCCGGTCTGTACCGGCAGCCGGTGTAAGATTATTGTAGTCTGATATGCAAGAAAAGGCAATGTCACATGAATTTATTATATGTTTTATTTGGTACGAATAAAACACAGAAGGGAACATAATCATAACAAAATCAAACTGAATGGTGAAAGTTGAATGATTATTACACAGCTACACGTTACAAATAAATATTTCACAAATTAAATGGTATGATATATATATTTCTAATCCATTACTACGACTTAAGGGATAATTTCTGCCAACTTTTAAATCATGGAAAGAAAACAAAACGCGATTCATCGTGTCTTCCAGCTAATGAATTTTACATACAAGCTGTACACATATACCATAATGAAGAATAAATTGTATATATCAAGATAACTGAAAAGTAATATAAAAGTTAACTTAAAAAAGTATTCAAAACATGCGAAAAAAGTTTCATATGCAAAAAGAAAGTCACAGAAATTTAAAACACATGAAAATAAAAGCACACACGACTAAAAATGATTAAAACGTTTTTTTTTCACATTTAAATCAGAACATAATTATATAGAGGATATTTGTTTGTTTCAGTGTAAGATCGAAAAATATTTCACCGAGTGAACACCAGATGCAATATTTTCCACGAGTGGCGTAGCCACGAGTGAAAATATAATAGCTGGGGTTCACGAGTGAAATATTATTTGATCTTACATGTAAAAAAACAATTTTCCTTGTTTTATTTCAAATGATTTTTTAACGATTTTTACACCATTTTTACTGATTTTTTGCCGCGTAACGTCATGCTCTTATTCTTCATGACGTCATCAAATAATGACAAGTCACAATGTTGAAGCAAAATATAATTTCCATGATTATTTTTTAGATTTTAGATGTTTTTCAGCACAACGTTCGTAAATTTTTACGATCTACAGTTATCACGTTCATTTTTTATTATTGATGACTACATTTTCCGCTGAAAAAAACATTCATTAATGATAAATATTTTATTTTTACGCCAAATATAGTTCGGCTACTGTGAAATTATATTTGGTAATCATTACTGTGAAATTATCAGCACGACTTGAAATAGTTAAAACATTTTTTTCACATTTAAATCAGAACATAATTATAAGCAAGCAAATAGGCCTAATACATTTGATAGTTTCATTATTTGCCCATTATATCCCAAAAATGCGTTCAAAGCTTCAAATTTTTGGTGTCCGGTTACAGTTTCTGAAAAGTTACTCATTGGCCAATTACTTATCCATCTTTTGCTTATGCTGCTTTTTGGCAATTAGAACAGTTATAGGCCTAGTGATTTACTACTAGTATTTTGTATGGAAGTGTTTACATTTTACTACTTTTATGACATATAACTTTACTTAAACACTTCTCTCTTCACGTGATAAGCATTTAACATGCTTTTAAACAATTATTTAAACGTTATATAAAACTCATGTTTGTCCTTTCTGAAGACGGAAAATAAATTTAGTTATTTACTGCTTCGGCATCATGTACCTTTAATATAATTTAACATTTTTGCAATCATAACAATAAATTTAAAGGAACCTTCATTATGATCAATGTATTAAATTAGAGTAATACTCAATCTAAAGTGTTTCATTCTGACCCGTGCAAACAGAAAGGTATTTAAAGTGAGGTTTAGTGCCACATTGCTTTTTACAGTATTCATATGGTTCCGACAACCGACATTAATATGTTAGGAACTTGGGATATCTGAAATACACACGCGCATGCACGCACGCGATGACACGCACAAAACGAGAATGCTAGCCTACTCCTTCTTCAGTCGTTTAATCATCGGCAAAACTCTCTTCTGAACAAGTTTCATGGCAGCTATTGCATCCTCTGCACTGTCGTGACCATCTGAAGTTACAGATTTTAATAGTGATAATTATTACAAAATTATAATGCTGATCAGACAAGATGTCTCTCAAGTAACGTCAGTGAGGTTATGTATAATCTGGACTTAAGATTGAGCCTTTTTATTATACCTTCCTATCTTAAATCTCCATTATCTCCAGAATTATGACAAGAGGCTTATAAATGTTAAATTTGTTGTTTTTTTTTTTGTTTTTTTTTTTTTTTTGTCTTTTTTTGTGGTTTTTTTTAATCCGTGTTTATGTTGTAACACTACGAGATAATTAGTGTTGTTTTACCTCCGTCTTGTATGCGCATGCCTAGCTCAGATAGCGCAATGTCCTTCAGTGATCTTTTCAACGGCCATCCTCGATGATGCGGGTACAAGTACAGTGTGTCTATCACCTTTTCGTGCATAATCTAATGAAATAATAAAAAAAAACGTGTTTATACAGGAATATAGCATAGGAACATGTTGAATGACTTGACAAAACTTATATGTTCCGTGATAAAAATGCAGTAGATAGAATTATATTTTAAAGCATAGCTATGTCGTAATATATTCTCCATGACGTATATTCATAGTACTCGTCACTATCTTTTTTGTTATAATATTGACAGCGTTCGTAGAAATAAATGACTAACCTTCATGGCTATTAAATCAGAGCTCAGTCCATGACCTACAAGAATCGTGTCGGCAGAAAAGAGTTTCAGCATGTCCTCTCGAAGATCTTCAAATGTTTTTGTTACACCTTGTAGGTCTTTCTCACTTATACCACTCCATCTGAAGAGAAAAGTATCAATTCACACAAAAAAATTTTCAGTTTTTAAGCATGACTTTATAATAAGACAACGAAAGGAAATTTGAGGAAATTCACGCCACTCATATTGTTTTATTTGCATTTCGGCCTTTAAGTCTTTATCACAATCAATAACACAAACATGTTTGTAGTTTGTAAAATAAAGTGCTAAAGTAACATATCTGTCAAAGTTCTTTATAATGAATTTGACATGGTTCTCGCCGCCGTAATAAATTCATTAAAATAAGGTACTTGTCAGAAAGCATTTTATGAGATTACATTGTATTGTAGTCCACCACTTTGGTTGTAGGGAGACAAAACTCGTTATAGACCACATTAAGCTTGCGGTCAACGACGGTAACTCTACACACTTCTATACCCTTCATCGTATGAACCTGTAATAGACAGATGGTAATACATTTGTACTTTATAATACAGACAACATCTTATCTATACAGTATCATCCAAAAAGATCTGGACAGCTAATTATACGCAATATGGTATAATTTATTTTCTTTAGCAGTCAGTTAGCTTAAGGACGTTTTCGGAGTTTGCATATGGACAAATAGGCCAAAATAAAATGTGGCTATATGAAAACTCCCGAAAACGTATTTAAACACATTTTACTTAAAACATACAAAAGTACAAAAGTTTAACAATACATGATTATACATTAACAATAAAAGATACATGAATGAAAATAGGATCAGTGCCGAAAGCTATAAAGCTTTAAATATATATCTCCGATATTTGATAATTACGAAAATTTTGGAATGAAATAAATTTTAAAAAAGTAAAAATGCGAATTTATTAATTCATAGTGAAACTAGCGATTGTTCAAAAGGTTTAGGTTAGAAGAAGATAAAATAGATAAATGGTTGAATAGAAAGGGACAGAAGTTTGATTCGGATTCATTTGATATATTTTAATGGTAAAGTAATTTGTGGAATGTATGTATACCTAAAATACTTGAATTTTTAGAATTAATGCTATGGCTAAGATTCCACTCCTCGTTTATAAAGGTATGATGGATTGTAGTACATAGGTTAGAAATATTACCAAACAGGCAAACTCTGATATCAGTAAAGATACACAATACACAAAAAAGAAATGGTATAATAATTATACAATATGTTGAGAACTTACAGACTCTGTATCGACAGCATAAATAGTGTACTTGTCTGTTGGGTTATCTTTCTTTTCTGTTACTTTGTAGTTTTCCAGGTCTTGGTATAGGTTACCTTTGTGGACATGACTCTGAAATATATGATAAAAATATTGGCGTGTTGATGTGTGTGATCTACAATTGATCTACAATTGTTTGAATTGAAACTATCTTTTAATGATTCCTATTCGCTTTGAGAAAGTACAGAAATTAGTTTTACCGGTGCAGTTCGGCAACCCCTTGAACCATATGACCTTCCGCAGCAACCATGTGGCTGTTGTCGTCCGTCTGTAAATAGTAATGTTTACATGTATATAATACATAACTATGTATGATAAAAGATTTCATAAATGCAATCCTTTATCATTTCTTCAAAGGACTTGTAAAATAAATTTATGTAATTTATAAGAACGCAACATTTATGATATGGATATCACTTTAAAATCTTTAAATTTTATGTGAATATCATTATGGTATCAAATGTATAGTTGAAACTGAATCACAGTGAAGTTTAAGATGCAAGATTTAGCTTTGATTTCCGAAAGTAATCTTATTCGTGTGTTCATGTAACACAAAATGTATATACTATATCTTTTTGACCGCTCCAAATGAAAGTCACATTGTGTTCTTCTAGAGAATGTAGTATCAAATGATTTGTCGCATCTTTTACAGTAACCTGAAACACAGTGTATACGAAACATGGGTGTTTAATAACATCTTATGAATAAGTTTACACTATTCTATACTATTTAGTATAGACTTTTGTAAAACTAGCTACTTTATGTCGTTCTAAATGAAATATATTTTTGTGTATAAGTATATTGTGACTAGGTCAGCATTAGCAAATAAAAGGTAAAATGTAGAATACCTGCATGCCGATACTGATGTCATTTTCAAAGATAATAAAATGATGTACATGTATGTAGATAATAATATGATATTGATATAAGAGTCAACGGCGCCGCACCCATTATATAAATATAAGTTATACTTCTAAAAATCTTCTGCAGCTTACCTTCTTTAAAACCGAAATGGTTCCCATATAACTTTACACGACCATGTTCCCCAGATGGATCTTGCCTTGGGTAGTCCAGTTCTTTCATTAGATGCTCCGGCAAAATAAGGCCTTCATATATCTCATGGATTTTAGCTGAAATAAAGGTGTTTGGGATTTATACCAATAGATATATATTAAAAGCGAAATTAAGCAGATGGATATCCATGGCACAATAATCAGTCATAGATAGCACGTTTAACATTATAGTACATGGATGATAATTTACTGTACATCCATAGATCTGTACATTCTGATAAATATACATAATTTAAAGTACTTAAAACATATGGTAAAATAAAAGCTAAATCGAAATCTAAATAAGCTAGTTAGAAGATAAAACTGTCCAAAAGTACGGCAATTTTGGAGAAGATGAACCTGACAAAAGTCAAGCTTACATACCTTTCTTATCTAGCCTTTGCCTTTTCTTTTCTCTCAGACTGTCCGAATCTGGAGAGGATTTTCTTTTCTGACCAGAATGGCTTGGTTCTTTGTCATTGTGACTGTCTAATTGCTTTACCGCCACGTTTAATTCTTCAGGTTTATCATTGTGACTTTCTGATTGCTTGTCAGTCACGTTTGATTCTTCGCGTTTATCATTGGTGTCATCCTTTTTAGTATCCGAATTCGCTTCAGCACTATTCTTTTCAACAGTTGCCACTGTACTACTCTTTCTTTTATCTGTATTTTGTTCAACACTTTCCATTTTGTTATTTGCAGTTTTCTCAAAGTGCTGATTCTTCTCCTAATACGAGAACTGTCCCAGTAAATCGTGAACTGGACTTTCTGTATAAAAATAACTATTGCACGAGCTTCAAATTTCGTATTTTTATCACATTCTTGTATAACCTTCTGAAACTTGTTAATCATATAAATGCAAATCTGCTTAATATGCAATGGTTTTATACCAATAAGATACATGTATCATTAATTTATCAAAACCATGTTCGCGGTGTTTTGGTGGGGGTTTTTTAAACTTTTATTTTCGGTTTTGTTTACGAGTTTAATTAAATAACTAACTGGCCATTTGCAGTTGAAATTGTCAGATATAATACTTATTTTATAAAATTTGAAAATAAAAATATATCAGCAGTTTCTTAAATGACGAATAAAGACTGCCAGTTTTGTTAAATTAGTATACAGCTGTAATGTTATATCTAAATCGAAACAAAGAAGTATACGGAAATATGATAAAAAACAACGTTTCAACTGAATTAAATTATCCTGACCTGTAAAACAAACCAAAAAAAAAGATGATAAATAAAGCTTTTTTTACAAACACTTAAATCTTACCTGCAGATATTTAAGGTTTTTACCAACAGTCAGAAATACATACTATTATAAGAGCGTCGATCACTAGTAAATAAAAATCAAGGAAAAATAATCCCGGAAGAAATACTGGGTTTAAGGTTACTTTTGTTATCAGTTCATGCATTGATTTAGTTATCTGTGTAGCTCTGATATCGGGTATTTACATTAACGGTAATCATCATCAAATTGCCATAATATAATTTTGATTACATGAAAATCATGATCTTTTTGTGTACCTTAGTTTACAGTCAACGCAATGCACGTTCAGTGTAGATTGTATTTTTTTCCATTTAAATCTGGTTTCCAGTTTAAATGCCGAAAACTATTTAAGTCGGTGCTAGCTAGTGGGCATACTAGGTATACTAGTATGAAACCCAGGTAAACCAAGAGGTCTATTCAATAAGAGCTAAGAACTGATTCCAGGATTCTCTTGTATCTCATAGCTGCCTCTGTTGTCTGCTGAGGTAAGAACCCTACTGGAAATAAGTACTTGCACTTTCGTAGGTTATCATTGACCGCCCGGTCTAAAGAAATTTAATTCAATTCAATTTTCTATTTTCTTTCAAATGCAAAGGTTATAGGTCACGCGAACACTAGGTTCTAAAATTGTTGTGTTTTTTTAATAGTGCCACTATTTCGGGTTCACATTTTTTATTACAAACATTATCGTTTAAATCAAAATAATTTTCAATATGTTAAGTTATTGCTTATAACTTAAAAGGTAAAGAAAAAACTTATTTCGTAATGTTTATGAGCATATGACTTATTGCCCTTTCTATCACGAATATTGTTTTGTTACATTTAATTAAGTATAAACGTCATTGTATATTTCATTTAACTACTTTCTAGAACTACTTCATGTACAAGTGGTTATATACATTAAAACGGTTTAATAATCTATTCTATTCTCGTGAAAGAATTCACCGCCATTTTGTTCTAAATCCACTGGTGAAACATTAGTTCTGGCGATCTTTTAATTACATGCGTGAAATATCAAGTTTTCACTTATTTCATTAACTCAGGCACAAACGCGTACCTCTTTGGACAACGGACTTGTCATTTGACTTTAAAAATCCACAATTTTCCTTTACATGATGATACTCGTAGTTGTGAAGTGCCGGAGATTCGAGGTCAAAGTTCGAAACAAACTCGTCAATAATATTTTAATGACATAAACAAAATGATGGAAAATGAACAGAACAAATAAGTGTCACTAACCACTTTTATTGTAGTTCATTAATCATTTTTAAATTATGCTGCATACAAAACATTTATAAAATCATTATGTTTCTAGTACAGTTTTAACTATGATTGTATAGATTGAAAGGTCATATAGAACAAAGTAAACACATCTATTTAAGCTCAAACAACTTTTTTGTGTTTCAGTAAATTCTATTTATTTAACAAGCACATGTATCAATATCAATATTTCATGATAACGTATTTTTATTCTTAATCAGTCCCAATTAAACTACATTATTTCATACTGAAAGTTTTGACTTGATAGTTTTATATTGATTTTAGGACATCTAAATTAATAAGTTCATTTAATTATAAATAAAAAAAGTTTGCTTCAAAAATAGTGCATGTATATATATGTATGTATGATTTAAGTTCTGAAACAACTATGTTTCCTCGTCATTCTGTTCTAGATTTTTCAACGAAAGCTTCATGGTCGCCTCTGCATCTTCTTTACTGTCATGGCCCTCTGAAAAAAGGAAACATAAACATTAAAGAACAAAATATACCAGAGATGGATAATATAAACGTCATGTCGTATCTCAGTTTAATGTTTAAGCGAATATCCGTTGTGTTTGGTCTTATTCCTTCTATTTTTTTATTTATTTATTAATTTATTTATTTGCTTTTGTCTCTCGAACAACTTCAACATTTGCTACAACATCTCCCTTTCAGTCTTTTCAGGGCATGACATGACATATGGACAATATCTTCGTTAATACATCGGTGGATGCTGATCAGAGTTGTGGGGAAAATCTTATTTAAAAACAAAAAAAAAACATTATAGAAATAAGAGATATTTAACATAAATATCAACGTTTTATTCCATGCATCACCGTCTGACAGATACGACTGCCATGGTTACTCACTCTGTCCTTCACAGTTCAAATTAAGATGTTCGATATGATTATATTACCTCCAACTTGAATGCTCAATTGTAAGACACTTCTGGCAATTTCCTTAAGGGATTTTCGGAGAGGAAGTCCACTGTCGTGTGGATACAGCATAACTGTGTCAACAATCTTCTCGTGTATAATCTAATACAAACATAATCAGAAGAAAACAGTTGCCAACTTTTGAAAATGCAAGCTGCACAGAAACATAGGCATTCGGCTCGTTTGTCTTTCATAAATGGTAAAATTGTCTCCCCTTATTTATCTACACTAAAATTACTATCCAGAATCCGTTATTAAATTTAACATTCGAAAGTTAGCATCTGATAAGGTATATCATGAACTGAGATTAGAAATATAAAGATATAGTACCTTCATTGAAATGAGGTCATGGTTAAGACCGTGTCCAATCATTATCGTGTCGGCAGAGAACAGTTCCAGCATCTCATCCCTCATCTCTTCATACGTTGTTGTAACATCTTGTAGATCCTCTTCATTCACACCGCTCCATCTAGCAAATAAACAAATCCTCCTAACCTGTATCTCTTAAAATCTAAATTCATACTACTTTGTTATTAGTTTTAGAAGCATCAGATGTACGTAGAATAAAATGAAACAAAATAATACGGGGTTTATATATTTGGTGTCAAACTTACATCGTATTGTAGTCTACTATTTCTGACGTCGGTTGACAGAACTCGTTGTAGACCACTTGAAGTGTCGGGTCAATTACCGACACCTTGCATACTTCCAGACCCCTCACTGTATGAACCTAAACAAGAAAAGTAAAATGAAATTTCCAAATCCTTGTGAAAAGAAAACTATACGTGATGTAAACAATGCTTTCAACCTAGTTTATAATCGACTCAACTTCAAAACATTCAATTAAATGATAAGTTTATTATATAAGTACATGTACATGTATATAATAACATTTTATAAATGTATAGGGCTTACCGATTCCGTATCTAAGGCATATACGCCATAGTTACCATCAACAGGATGTTCACTAGGTTGAGTTCTTCTATATCCTTGAAGGTCCAGGTACAAGTTTCCTTTGTACACATGGCTCTAAAATATATCCATGTTTAATGGATTAATATATCTATGATTTTAAACATAGGTATGTAGATGCGCTTCGAGTGAGTAATACAACAATGAAGAGGAATGTCAAAATAATAAATTTCTAACATTTTATCTCTGCAAAGATAGATAGATGACAAAAATTGCAACTGCATTTATCTCCAAGAAGACCAATAATTGATATTTTACTGCACGAAATAACTGAAACTTTCGCTTAGGTTTTATACTTTTTATCTTTTATTGCTTTGATTAAATGATTGATTAATTTGTTTATATCATCGATTAGTCGATAATCGATTGCTCAATCGATCTATTAGTTATTTAATTGGCGACAATATTTGTGTCATGGCAGTCTACAAAACAAAATACCGGTGCAATACGGCAGCCCCTTAAACCAAGACCTTTTCCACAGCAACCGTGCGGGTGTTGCTTCCTACCTTGAATGAAGAAATTGTTAAAATATATAAAAGACCAAACAGCAGAATATATTATACAATGCTGTTATATAAAATGTTATATGATATCATGTCCAATATTGTTCATGAGATAATTATTTCCATAAAAGATTTTCATATTTATTTGGGGATGCAATATTAACAATTTAAAGTACCTGATTACTCGTACAATGAAATCTACCATTACAACAGAAAAGAAAAAACGAACCGCTCTCTGTATGGAAGTCACACTGCGTTCTATTAGCAAATGTTACATCAAACGGTTTCTCGCACCTTTTGCATTTTCCTGTAAGAGAATTTGTTGAATAGTTTTACTTCAAGATTGTCGATTTACTTTGAATAACAGAGAATGCAGCTTTCGTGATAACCAACGCTACAAAAATTAGCACGTAAATAAATAACAAAGGTTCTTGCTTTATAAAGCGTTTATCATTGATAAGTATTTCATGTAAAAGTCGACTCAAAAGATATAGTTTTAAATATCGTCGATGTATCTAAAATCGCGGTGTATGTAAATTCGCGGATTTTGTTTACACTTGGATAATCTCGTAAAATCTCGTCGCACTTGCCCGACAATGACGTAATATTTCCCGCAAAATGTGTCTACATATGTTTTGTGTATCAAACCATCACAAATCACATAAAAATGGGCAGTTTATGGTTCATTTTCTAATTAGTATAAAAAACATGATTTTACTTATGCCCAAATGTCTACCTTATAAGTAATCCGTTTTTATTAAACTAGAAAAGTTTGTCAAACAATTCCCACTTCCGGAAATTTCTTCAAGATGTGAAGGTCAGTCGGCCATGCTTTTTTTCCCAAACCGAGGCTATGAATATATTTATTGACCGATTTTGGATACCCATATCAGCTAATGCAAAAAGTGTCATTTCCTGCATTTAAAAAATAATTAGGTCTAACTTTAACCTATTTGACCAAAATTTAATTGACAGAATTACTTTTATGTCATCATCAAACTTTAAGATGTAATCACATGTTAAGATTTAAATGTGCAAGCACTTGACCTACTTAAATCTTTTGCCGAAAATGAGGGTCATATGGGGAGATGAAAATCGAATTTATCGGCTGTTTTAGTTTTTTCACTACTTCTTACATGTTTACAAAATAAAACTGCAAATAAGAAATAGATATAAAAAATCAACATTATTCTGAAAAATTGATATTTTCTCAGTTTAAAGTGGCTGGAATTTTTGTCATGTGAACTGATTTGACTTACAATGACGTATTTGTAGTCGTCCGCGAATTAACATACAGTTCCAATATGGCGGCCGTCATGACAGACGCTTATTATTTAAAGTTACCACTGACAAATACGAGTGTAAGTTGGTGAAACTTGAACTGACTTCAAAATGAAAAAGGCCAATTGTAAGCACACATTATGTGTATAATTTATTATATATCTTTTTTACACATTATTTCTCACAAATGTGCCTAATACCGCGAATATACATCAGTCGAGGATATGTACTAGTATAGAGATTATACATGGTAAAAAAAAATTGTAGGGATAAAATTTCGTCGGATCTTAAATTTGTGTTTTGACCTATCCACGAAAACCACCAAAAGTCATGCCCAACGAATAATAATGACTTCACAGTATCAAAAAATTGCCAATATCAAGTTGCTTATCTGTTAGTAATAACATGCATGTCAGATATTATCATGGTATGTTAACACTTGTTGCAACGTTACTGCTACTTGATTTGCACAGCTTTTGCTTTCATCATAGTGACGTTTCCGGAATTGATCATAGACGTTCCAAAAGATTGTTTTCCTCTTGGTTTGTTTGTTTGTTTTTCTTTTTGGGAATGTGTATTGGAATCTTTTCATCATTTTCATGCTATAAACTTTTGTATAATGTTTAATGCAAATAAAGTATATTATCATCGACATTCTGTCATTCTGAAGTTTGTTTTTCTTTCAGGACTGTAACTTACTTTGCTTATTTGTTAGTTGTTTCTGTTTGCTAATTCAAAGTATCATGTTTGTTGCTGTTTTATTTTGCGAATGAAAAGTATGAAAAGAAATCAAAACAATAACACACAAGTTTGATCAACGCATAGTTTTTACACAAAAATAAAGATAAACAGGGTTATGTGAACAAAAATACAAAAACAAAGTATACGAGTTTTTTTTAAACATATCATTTTACTAAACATATGACTATCGTACTAAAATAAATCTTTTGTTTTCCTTTTGACCTAATCAGGTTTTAACCCTACCAACTTGATTTTGATCATAATTTTATGTCAAAGGAAAATATTTTTTAAGTTATCTATCATTTTGCAATGCTTTAGAAGTAGATAGCATTTAATTATCGAAATTATAAATTAAAATCAATATCATCACATAATTCTACATGCTGGGAATCCACAATCAATTCCAACTACACGTCGTAAATATGTCTCAATGACGTGACATGACAAGATATTGTCAAATAGATAAGATATGTAGGACATATCATGGTTTGAGTTTCAACTACCATTGTTGTCTTTAATTGGATCAATAGATTACGATTTATTTTTAAACATTTGAAACATGGGAAGACATGGACAATTTGTTTAGCTGTCTCTTGGTTTAAACTAAATAAGTATACCAGCCATCAATAAATCGTTTAAATTTGACACACTTTGTTTCTCTCCGTAATTGATATTTAATTGGAATTGGAAAACTCCAATGATAAAGGTTTATCATATTGTTGCTCCTGGTTTTAAGGGCGCTCATTTGTTTTTTTAAAAGATACGATAAGCTATTTTATCATGTTTATTGTAAATCATATCTACAAAATTCATGTACTAATTGTATTTTGTCAAAAGAAAGAAAATTGTTATGTTGTAACCTTTCTTAAACCCAAAGTGATCGCCATACAGTTTAACCACGCCCTCGTTTCGGTTGGGGTCAGGCCTGGGGTAGTCTAACCTCCTCAGGTCATCTTCCGATAACTTGCGGCGCAAAAATCTACTGTATTGTTCAGCTGAAATTTTAAATAGAATAGTTCGCATTTACATTGTGTCTAAAAATATTTTTGTATAATTTTCTGATAAAATCATTTCGGTCTCTTTCGGGGTTTTTTTTTTAAATTTAATTACATGTGCATTCAATTATGGTTTAAACATATTTTTTCAACTTACATTGAAGTTGCATTTTACTTGTGAAAAAATATAGGCATAACACGTTTTGGGCCATAAAAGCTACGATTTTTTAGAAATAATAAAAATATACGAACGATAATCGAGCATTAGGAACATCTAGACAACTATCATACATGTTTAGATATACTTTACGCGCTAAAATCACAGAATTGAGCATCGGTAAAAAATATGTGAAGTTCTGCTGATCCAGTTGTGCACTATAACACAATTTTTTAGAAATCGCTTTTTTTTTTTGTTTTCTTGTTAGTTTCCCCGCCAGTTCTAAAATCATTAGTTGATGCAGACTCGGGAACATGTATAAAAATCTTTATGTACTTGACAGTTTTCTTCAATTTTCTAGTTAATCAAAACGTCTCTAAGTCCATTTCTTCCTTACATTTTGAATTCATTTCCCCGTAAATTTATGATATAAATGTATTATATTAGTTAAATTATCAAAATTAATTATGATTAAAAGAGTTTAAAATTACCTGTTGCCATAATTAATTGTCCTGGTTTGTAAAATTTTTTCTCCCAGTGGGCAATTCGACCCATAGCAAACGCCTCTTTTATACCTTTCTAAAAACATGGAATTACGCCATGGTCTTAATTTAGAATTCATATTATTATACTTAAATCTTATATGAAAATTTTCATTAACATGTGCAATTAAAGGTAAAGGAGGGTTTTTCATAATGTTTAACAAACTACTTTGACAGCAGTAATACATTTTTCGATTTTCCCGTCGATGAAATAGTTTCTATAAAAGATTTCTTATATACCTTGTCTTGAACCTTTTTTAGAGTATTTTTTTTATGATTTCGTTTTTATCTGTTTATGACAGTTTCTTTATATAGTATATAATTTCGTAATCAGCGTTAAATATAGACCACTTACACGACTTAAGCAGACACAGTGAATATATAGAGAAGTTTCTTTATTTTCCTTATCGTCTTCGTCGAAGCGAAAAACTTATCACGGTTAGGAAGAAAGTTTTTAAAACGAACTAAGTATGGTAAGATAGCGACGTAAGGATCAATTTAAACACATAAACAAAGCGGTTGGCCCATGTTATTGTAGTAATAATATTTTAAGATAATGGATTTCCAAAGGTTTTGTATTACGTTGTCCAATAAAATTATAGAGAATATCTACGTAAAGTTTTGGAATATATAATTTTGGAATACCAAAATCGACGGCTACATGCAAAAAACAAGTCTCAAAATAAGGTTAAAATTACTTGGTTCTGAAAATAGGCTTATATAGTTTTCTTCTTTAGAATAACAATCTATAGTATTTACAAGTATTTAGATACTTGTAGTATATCATTTACATTTAAGCTTTTTCTAAAAATAACATATAACCTTCTTTATATAATATATATTATATAAACCTTTTAAAGTTTCTTTCAAATTCATTTCAGTTATATGGCAAAGAGCTAACATTGTTTTTTTTCTTCTTTTATTTTTCTATAAAATATGATTGAGGGAATCTTAGAATATGAAATATTATCACATGAACTATATAAGATTGATACCGTACAATGATCTGATAATAATTTTAATGATGTAACGAAACTACTGTTTTGTACTACTGAAATATTTTAAGATATAAAAATTAATAATTATTCTACATCCTTTATCAGTATATACATAGAAAGATAAAATAATTTAAAAATTAAGTTCTATTTTGTCGTTATTGACTTTTTATGTTTTACATTAAGTCTTGGTGACTTATTTAATAATACATGTTCTTTGAAAAATATAAGAATTACTTAGTTTTAACTTACTCCTTTACAAAAAAATGTTATGGATTTAAGTGTTATTAGAGACATTGATACCTATTTTAATATCAATTAAATGTACTGTAAACAATGCATATTTTGTACAGTAATAGTCATACTCAGATAGGTTATTGTAAGAAACTTGGTAATCATATAAATTGAAAAACTCAGATACGTGTTGCATAAATGTCCAGTTTATCGTCGTCCATATCACATTGATATAATATAATTTTAATTACATTAAAAACATGCTTTCTGTGTACTTTAGTTAACATAGTCATCTTAATGAAGGTTCAGTGTAGACCTGAAACTGGTTAATATAAATGTTAATAAACAAAATCGGTGATGACGTGTTGATTTTCTTCATATAAACCTGGTTTTCAGTTTAAATATCGAATACTATTTTAGTCGGTGCTAGTGGGCATGGATGGTACCTTGTACTACTGCAACTGTCTATAAACAGACTCAATCATACCGAGCTTGTGACATTTTTAATTTTGCCGTTTTATGACTTCTTAGAGAAATTACTTTTTCTGGTGGTGCGATAGTTCAGTTGGTTAGACCACTGACTGTCACTCCTGAGGTTCCGGGTTCGATCCTGGGTAACACCCTTGAGATTTTTCAGAGACACTACCCAGTGCTTCCCACCAACCTAGAAGTATACTAGTATGAAACCCAGGTAATTCTCGCAAGTATCAGTGCTATAAAGTTGGCATGTAAAAGAACCAAGAGGTCTATTCAATAAGAGCTAGGGACTGGTTCCCGGATTCTCTTGTATCTCATAAATGTCTCTGGAGTCTGCTAAAGGTAAAGACCCTACTGGAAATAAGTGCTTGCACTTTCGTAGGTTAATTATCCTTGACCGCCCGGTCTAAAGAAATTTAATTCAATTCAATTTTCTATTTTCTTTTGTTATAAATCTATTGCAAAGGTTATATGTTACGCGAACTCTAGGGGTTCTAGAGTTGTGTTTGTTTTTTAAATAGTGCCACTATTTCGGGTTCACTTTTTTGTAACAAACATGATCGTTAAAATCAAAATATTTTTCAATACGTTATGTTAGTGCTGATAAAATACTTATTTCGTAATGTTTATGAGCATATGACTTATTGCCCTTTCTATCACGAATATTGTTTTGTTACATTTAAAGTATAAACGTCATTGTATATCTAATTTACCTACTTTCTAGAACTACTTCAGGTACAATAAGTGATTACAATAATTTGCAAAACGGTTTAATAATTTATTCTCTTCTCGTGAAAGAATTCATTGCCATTTTGTTCTAAATCTACTGGTGAACTATTAGTACTGGCGATCTTTTAATTTACAGGCGTGAAATATCAAGATTAACTCATGCACAAACGCGTACCTCTTTTGACAACGGACTTGACGTCATTTGCCTCTTAAACCCCACAATTTTCCTTTACAGGATGATACTCATAGAGATTCGAGATCAAAGTTCAAAACAAACTCGTCATTATTGGTTTTAATGACATAAACAAAATGATGGAAAATGAACAGAACATAGAACAAATGAGTGTCACTAACCACTTTTATTGTAGTTCATTAATCATTTTGAAATGATGTTGCATACAAAACATGTATAAAAGTATTATGTTTCTAATACAGTTTGGCTATGATTGGATAGATTGAAAGGTCAAATAAAACAAAGAGAACACATATATGTAATCTCAAACAACTTTTTGTGTTTCAATGATGCTATTTATTTAATAAGCACATGTTACAATATCAACAGGTAGAATTTAATTAAATTTGTTTTAATTGATATATTATGTATATAAAATATTTAAGATCAAGATCAATATTTCATTAGTACGTATTTCTAATTCTAAATCAGTCCCAATAAAACTACATTATTTCATACTGAAAGTTTTAACTTGATAGTTTTATACTGATATTATGACCTGTGAATTAATCAGTTCACTTAATTATAAATAAAAAAAGTTTGCTTCAAAAATAGTGAATGTATATATATGTTTTAAGTTCTGAAACAACTATGTTTCCTCGTCATCAAACGCTTGTTCTGTTCTAGATTTTTCGCAACGCAAGCCTCATGGTCACCTCTGCATCTTCTTTGCTGTCGTGGCCCTCTGAAAAAATGAAACATAAACATCAAATGGCAACATATAACAAAGATTGATAACTTAAAAGTCATTTCGTGTCTCAGTTTAATGTTTAAGGGAATATCCGTTGTGTTTGGTCTTATTCCTTCTATTTTATTATTATTATTATTATTATTATTATTATTATTATTATTATTATTATTGTCTCTCGAACAACTTCAACATTTGTTACAACATCTCCCTTTCAGTCTTTTCAGGACATGACATGACATATGGACAATATCTTCATTAATACATCAGTCACCGCCTCTACGCTGAATTACCAGTCGGTGGATGCTGATCAAATGAGTTGTGGGGCAAATCTTATTTAAAAACAGAAAAAACATTATAGAAATAAGAGATCTTTAACATAAATATCAACGTTTTATGCCATGCATCACCGTTTGACAGATACGGATGCCATGGTTACTCCCTCTGTCCTTTACAATTCAAATTTAGATGTTCTATATGATTATATTACCTCCAACTTGAATGCTCAATCCTAAGACACTTTCGGCAATTTCCTTGAGGGATCTTCGGAGAGGAAGTCCCCTGTTGTGTGGATACAGCATAATTGTGTCAACAACCTTCTCGTGTATAATCTAATACAAACATAATCAGAAGAAAACAGTTGCCAACTTTTGAAAATGCAAGCAGGATAGAAACATAGGCATTCGGCTCGTTTGTCTTTCAATTATGGTAAAATTGTCTCCAAGTACTCTCCCTTTATTTATCAACACTTAAATAACTATACAGAACCCGTTATTATATATAACACAAAGGTCCTGGAAAGCAATTTAGTAAATCTTGTAATTTTACCATTGACAAGTCAAATGAGCCAAATGTATGTACACATACCGTATGTACCAAATTATCGATTAGGTTGACTATAAGAATTAGTTGAATTTAAACTGAAATATTGATGTGTTTGCCTTTGGACATTCGTAAGTTAGAATCTGCATAGGTATAGCTTTGAATCCATCCTTATAAATTGAGATTAGAAGTAAAAGATATAGTGTTTCATAATGCGTACCTTCATTGAAATGAGGTCATGGTTAAGACCGTGACCAATCATTATCGTGTCAGCAGAGAACAGTTTCAGTATTTCATCCCTCATCTCTTCGTGCGTTTTTGTAACATCTTGTAGATCCTCTTTAGTCACACCGCTCCATCTAGCAAATAAACAAATCCTCCTAACGTGTATCTCTTAAATTCCAAATTCATACTACTTTTTAATAGTTTTAGAAGCATCAGATATACGTAGTGGACATTACTAGAATAAAAATGTAGCAAAAATATACGGGGGTTATATATTTATTATCAAACTTACATCGTATTGTAGTCTACTATTTCTGATGTCGGTTGACAGAACTCGTTGTAGACCACATCAAGTGTCGGGTCAATTACCGACACCTTGCATACTTCGAGACCCCTCAACGTATGTACCTAAACAAGAAAAGTAAAATGAAATTTCCAAATTCTTATGAAAAGAAAACTATACGTGATGTAAACAAAGCTTTAAACCTAGTTTATAATTAACTCAACTTCGAAACATTCAATTAAATGATAAGATTACTATGTAACTACATGTATATAATAACATACTATTAATAAATAGTGCCTACCGATTCCGTATCTAAGGCATATACCCCATAGTTACCATCACTAGGTGGGTCCCTAGGTTGAGTTCTTCTATATCCTTGAAGGTCCAGGTACAAGTTTCCTTTGTACACATGACTCTAAAATATATCCATGTTTAATGGATTGATATATCTATAATCTTAAACATAGGTATGTAGATGCCCTTCGAGTGAGTTATAACAAAGAGCAAGAATACAAAAATAATATATTTCTAACATTTTATTTCTGCAAAGAAAAATAGATGACAAAATTGCAACTGCATTTCCAGTGCATTTCATGTATTGTTTGCTATAAACATGTTACATGTTTCATGCAATAAATAGGTTGAATTGAATTTAATTTTTCGAAATAGACCAACAAATGTTTTACTGCACGAAAGAACTGAAACTATCACTTTGTTTAAGACATACTGTTTATTTTTATTGCTTTGATTAAATGATTATTAATTTGCTGATTGATCTATTAACCGATGATTGATTGTTCACTTAATTAATTGGTGACACTATTTGTGTCATGGCAGTCTACAAAACATAATACCGGTGCAATACGACAGCCTCTTGAACCAAGACCTTTTCCACAGCAGCCGTGCGGGTGTTGCCTTCCACCTTGAATGAAGAAATTGTTAAAATATATAAAAGACCAAACAACGGAATATAATATACCATGCTGTTATATAACATGTTATATGATATCATGTGAGATACTTTTTCCATAAATAATTTTCATATTTTTGGGAATGCAATGATAACATTTTAAAGTACATTTGTACCTGATAACAATGAATCTACTATTGCAACAGAAAAGAAAAGAACGAACCATATCGTCTGGACCTCTCTGTATGGAAGTCACACTGCGTTCTATTTGTAAATGTTACATCAAACGGTTTCTCGCACCTTTTGCATCTCCCTGTAAGATAATTTGTCGAAAAGTCTTACTTCAAGACTGTTGTTTTAATTCGTTTAACTTTGAAAAACAGTGGATGCAGCTCTCGTGATAACCAACGCTACAAAAATTAGCACGTAAATAACAAACATTCTTGCTATATGTATAAAACTTTTATCATTGTTAGTTAAATATATTGTTAAAAAAAGTCGACTCAAAGGATATAACTCTAAAGATGATGTACTTTTAACAATGGCCAAAATTTAGTTATTTATCTTTTAAAACGGAAAGTTAGTAATGATATGTAAGTCAGATACTATCATGGTATGTTAAAACTTATTGTAATGTTACTTTTACTTGATTTGCAAAGCTTACACGGTCTGCTTTTGCTTTCATCATATAGTGACGTGTTAGAAATTGATAATAGACGTTCCAAAAGATTGATTTCTTCTTGTTTTGTTTGTTTGTTTTTCTTTCAAGGGATGTGTATTGGATTTTATTTTCATCATTCTGATGCTATTAACTTTTGTACAATGTTTAATGTAAATAAAATCTATTGTCAATGTCATTTTTGTCATTGTCATGTTTTGTTGTTTTTTTCTTGTTTTTTTTTTCAGGACTGTAACTTACTTTGCCTGTTTGTTAGTTGTTTCTTTTTGATTATACAAAGTATCATGTTTGTTTGCAAGTCAAAAGTATAAAAAGAAATTTAAAAAAATAACACGCAAGTTTGATTAACCCATAGTTTGTGCACAACAATAAAAATAAACAGGGTTATGTGAACAAATGTACTAAAACTAAGTACAAAGTATACGAGTATTTATAGAACATATCATTTTACTAAACATAATTACTGTCGTACCTATATCTTTTTTTCTTTTTGACCTCATCAGTTTTTCTACAAACTTAATTTTGATCATAATTTTATGTCAAAGGAAAATATTTTTATGTCATTTGACATTTTGCAATGCTATAGAACTAGATAGTATTTAATAAACGAAATTCTAAATTAAAATCAATATCATTACATGATTCTACATGCTGGGAATCCACAATCAATTCAAAATTAACGTCGTAAATATATGTCTAAAAATATAAGTATCTGTTTTCGAAAATACGCGATGCAAACATATGTGACATTTTTCAAAAACTAGGACATGACGTTACAAGATATTGTCAAATAGATAAACTATTATTTAGTACATATCATGGTTTAAGTTTAAACTACCATTGTTTTTTCTTTATATATAATTGGATCAATAGCTGACGATGTTTTTTTTTTATTTATTTGAAACATAAGGAAACATGTGGAGACATGAACAATCTGTTTAGCTGTCTCTTTGGTTTAAAAAAATAAGTATACAAAGCATTAATTAAATCGTTTTAATTTGGCACACGTTTTATCTCTCCGTAATTGATATTTAATTGGAATTGGAAAGCATTTATCATATTGTTGCTCCTGGTTTATAAGGGCGCTCATTTGTTTTGTTTTTTAAAGATACGATAAGCTATTTTATTATGTGTATTATGAACCATATACATGTATACAGCGTTCATGTTCTAATTGCATTTTGTCAATAGAAAGAAAATTGTTATGTTGTAACCTTCGGTAAACCCAAAGTGATCGCCATACAGTTTAACCACGCCTTCGTTTCCGTTGGGGTCAGGCCTGGGGTAGTCTAACCTCCTCAGGTAGGCTTCCGATAATATGTGGCGCGAAAACCTCCTGTATTGTTCCGCTGAAATTTTTAATAAAAATAGTTCGCATTTACATTGTGTAGAAAAATAAAAATTTAATAATATTTGAATCATTTCGTCTCTTTCGTAGATTTTTACAGTAAATCAAAGTTTTAATTTTATATAACTATGGTTTAAACATATTTATTCAACATAATTGCATATTACATGAGAACAATATTGAGAAAATGACACAAAATGGCGGAGATAAAGATGAAACGACAATGTGAAAGAAATTATAGTTACTTCGCCCCAAGTTTTAAATCTAGGAATGTGAAATCAAAATGGCAATTGTACTTCAATAGTGGCAACATAAACGTATTTGATTGTTTAAAAGATGCATATAAAAACATAAGCAATATTAAAGGGAAAACAGAGAAAAAAATATTTGAGAAAGGAAAGAAGAAATTAGTGAACGATAATGGAGAATTAGGAACGAACTTAGATTACTATCATATACATGTATGTTTTGATATAGTGTAAATATACTGTAGATGTAAATTACGCGCTAAAAGTAAGCTGTATTTTTAACTGCCTTAAAAATTGATACATGATTTACAATAAAATCGTAAGGTAAAGTAAGTACACAAAATATACTGTTTAATATTATGTTCATTTTTCATTAGTTTTTTTTTCTTTTTCTTTTTCGTCTTTTCTCGAAAATAGTCTTCCACGGCTTATTTTGTTTTTAAATAGTTCATAATTAAACGGCTTCTTCGTCAATTTCTTTCTTACATATTGAATCATTTTCCAGTGTATATATGATATAAATGCATTATATTAATTAAATTATCAAAATTAATTCTGGTTAAAAGAGTTTAAAATTACCTGTTGCCATAATTGTCCTGGTTTGTCAGAATTTTTCTCCCAGTGGGCGATTCGACCCATAGCAAACGTCTCTTTTATACCTTTATAAAAGCATGAAATTACGCCATGGTCTTAATTTAGATTCCATGTCATTATTTTTCGAAATCTAATATGTAAATTTTCATTAAAATGTGTAATTAAAGGTAAAAAAGGGTTGTTCATTATGTTTTACAAACTTTTTAGACAGTGGTAGTACATTTGTACCCTTCGATGAAAATACATATAGTTTCTATAGGTAGCTCTTTATACGTTCTTCTGAAGCTTTTTTCAGTATAATTTCATTATTTCGTTTTTAATGATTTATGACTGTTTTAGAAATACAATGTAGCCAATTAACAAGGCCATCTTTTGCTTCTGTTGCTTTTTAGCAAAGTTATATAGAGTTAGTATTGTATATGGTAGTAAAAATACTAATTTGTTTACATTTTGTTACTTTTAGGAAATTAGGACAAATAATTTTACATTAAATTTTATATTCACTACTTCTTTCTACAGGTGATAACAATGTAGTATGCTCTAAAACCGTTATTTAAACAATATAAAACTCATGTCTGCCCTGTCCAAAGAAAGAAAAACTTACTTCTGTCTAAGGCATAAAGTGCCTCAAAAATAATATAAAGTACTGACTACGATTCTGGAAACGTCTCTACTTTCCTTATCGTGCTCGCCTAAGGGAAAACTTATAATGCTTGGATACATAAAAAAGTTTAAAACAACTAGATATGGTAAGACAGTGACGTACGGATGACTAAAGTAGATAGGTGGAAATTCTCACCATGTTGTACTGAAAATTTATAAGACCACTTTGCTGGTGATATGCCCAAATAGCGTTATACAATGTATATGCTATATAGTTTGATGTAGGATGTATTCTTGTTCATTTGGAAAGTCAAATAGAGCATGTTTTTATTTTGTGTGGCGGAATGCCCGAGTGGTTAACAATCGGACTAGTAATCTAAGGATTGCTGGTCATGTGGATTCATACGCCGTCAGGGGCAAGACGTTGTTAACTTGAGCAAGAAATTTTACACTCATTACAGGAACGGATTCGAGTGTTTCAATAAGCACAGCTTCAAACACAATCTAACTAAAATAAATTCGTATAAACTAAACTAAATCATTTACACATGTATTTGTATAGTATTTTAGTTGAAGGCTGCGGTTACATTTGTAAATTTGTTTGTTTATTTTCATATAAAACAATATATGTTAGCAGCATATATTCAGGTAGAAGGTTGTGTTGTGTGTTGATTTAGTTACCGTATTAGTTTATGTAAATAGAAAATGTTTATTTAAATCGCATTAAACTTAAACAAAGCGGTTGGCCCCTGTTATTGAATATAATCGTTTCGTAATAATATTTTGAGATACTGGATTTCCAAAGGTATTGTAAAATGTTGTCCAATAGAATTATAGAGCATATCTACGTAAACTTTTCGGAAATTAGATCTGATTTATCTGATAATCAACAATAATTTTGGGATACCAAAATAGACAATCTTTGAGGCTATCTGCAAAAACATCGAGTCTCATAATGAGGTTAAAATTATTTGGTTATAAAAATAGTTTTTAACAGTTTTCTTTTCTTTCGAAAAACAATATTTCGTATTTATAAGTATTTAGACAGTAAATCATTTTAATTTTAGCTTCTTATTTTCTTCTAAAATAACATATAGTCTTCTTTACATAATACATTAGATATAAACCTTTTAAAGTTTGCTTCAAAATCGTATCAGTTTTATATGACGAAGAACAATGTTTTTATTTTATTTTTATATAAAATATGAACTTATAGAACCTATAAATAGAATATGAAATATTATTACATGAACTATATAAGATTGATAACGTACAATGATCTGATGATATTTAAGGATGTACGGACGGACGTACTACATATACGTTTATCCAATACATGTATATTCTACTTCGTTGTCAGATCGTATTCATAGAAAATAAACATATGAATGTAATTCTATTCAGCAGTTTATATGCTCAGTTTATCATTTATATGTGACAGAGCTATCAGTCGACTATATACAAGAAACATGCAGATTCTAAGTGATAAAAACAACAAGTTTTTTTTGTCTCCCATTTGCGTTAAAAAAAACATCAATGTTTGATGTTTTAAGAATATGTATACTCACCAGTCACTTCGCAGACCTATATTAACTAACAAAGTCTGAAACATATATGGGAGAATATCAACTTTTATTTGATTACTTTGGGTTATCAGATACGTGTTGATACATTTCACGTTCCAGACCTACTTTTGACACATTTTTCAAAAATATAAATATCATTGCGCAACATAATCTCGACACGATCTCTCATCCATGCACTGGACAATTTTTATTTTTGTAGAAAATGCACCTAACTTTTCCCTTTTTAAAAAAGGAAAGAAAATGGCACGATAGATAGGTCGATCGAGAGGGTGCTACTTTGTACTTAAAAAAAACATGGTATATAACATTATTGATTCTTATCTGCTTGGCTTATTCGTTGAAATCCATTTAGGAAAATCTATTTGTAATATTGAAGATCTAACAAAAGAATGATACCATAGCAAAATTGATCAGTTCAGTGGAAAAAATAAAATCATATATTGTCATAATACCGTTCAATATTTATTTTTTAGAAAAATACGAAAACAAACAAAAAAGCAGTAATTATTATCACAACCAGCTGCGACAGTGTGTATCTGCTTACAGCAACCCTGTTGAGGATCTATTGTTCGAATGGTTGCTATGGAATGTTATTTTGGGACCTGCATAGAATTACTTTGCATATACGAGTAGTTTCCAATATAACTGTACGTATCTGTATATTGTATCGATAAATACGTTGGAAAGAATGGCAAGAGCTAGGTTGAAACACACATTCTCATTGAATTCATTCAAGATTTTACATTTTATAAGTACAAATATAACTAAAGCTAAGCTGCTCAGCTAGTATGTTCATTGTGCCAAACATATAAATGCATTATAAGTTGATTGATTAATTAATGTGAATCCCTTTATTACAACGTGATATTTAAGTATAAACTTTTCTTTCTCATCATCCTAAGGACAGATTAAATCCACGGATTATAGATACATTGAGATAACTTTCTTCAATTTGACGCCGTACATGCTCCATTTCAAAATGACAATATTTTATAATTTAACCAGAGATCGAAAATACAATGAACATTAAACCATGCCGATCATATCTTTAATGCTTCTGCTATTTAATTTAAAATGTAAAACAATGGCATTGCTTTGTCTTGTGAATATGAAGAAACGTTTATATTAGGCATATATACATGTATATTGCTTTCAGGTAGAATAAGTTAATGCATCTATATATCTTTTTATGAGTTTATAGACAATATTCTGTAGATTTCATAAGTATATTTTCAACGATGTTTGCTCCCATTAGATCTATATTTAAACGTCTTTGTTGTTTCATACAAAAAACATCTTGCTGACATAAGCACGGTGTGCACATGTCTCTCGGTCTCTGCACATGCCCGTGCACGAATACTTGTGTGACAGAGGCGTCCACGTTTACATGTTTTAAAATATCTGGTAAAGGAATTATTATGGAAATATAGAGGATATTCATTTTTTCTATAATTTTCTATTTTATTTCATCAATATTTCATTTTAGAAGTATATAATAAACATGTATTTTTACCAAACTTATTTTTCTTATTGCGCATGGGGCCTCACTTCATAAGGTATGGTGTCGGTTTAGTGTAGCGGTGTGACGACATAATTTACACGTGAACAGGTAAACATAGAAAAACATCCCTGTTATTATCTTCTTAAACGTATTATCTATGTCCGTATTTATCTCTAAATAAACCAGACTCATACACCATAACAGTGCCTGTGTTTAAAAAACGTAATCGTAGGTTTATTGCGTTTTAATTATAGAGTGTTTCGTACTCAATATTGTTCGAACTTTCGAAAATATACTCGTTAAAGGCAAATATATGTATTTATGTGACAGGGGGTTGTTTTTGGTAGTGGATGTAAGAAATAAGTACACGTTATTTGGTTTTATTTTTATACTGTTTAACTGTTACATGGAAATTTGGCATATATTTATATTTTCTAAAGTATTTTTTTCATTTTTTTAGCCAAAATAATATTACTACAACGTCATGGAACCAAAAGGAATTTGTTAATAAAAAGCACAAATTATTACAAATAATTATTAATACAACATTTTAACATTTTTTATTTTAAACATTTTATACAATGGTTTAGACAGCTGAAACAGCACGGCCACATTTATTATATGTATTTGTAAATAAAGAAAGATATTAAATCAAACTGGTTTATTGTTTCCTACCCTGTTTGGTGATTTATATTTAGGCCCATTTATTTAAAACTCCATAATAAAACTAGGAATCTATTATCTATACTGAAGATCTTGATTCCCCTATCTGTTTGATAGGGGAATATTGTGAAGCCTGTTAGGATAGTTAATAGACAGATATCTGTGTCATTTATAGACCCGTAATTTTAATGCCATTTTTCTTGCAGTGTGGACCTTATTCTATAGCTATCCCCAGCTAGTTTTTGGTGCTTTAAATCACATATAAATTAATAAATTCATCCTGCAGTGCATGTAATTTGACAGTTAAACATAAACAGTAGCTCATTTCCCTTGCTGTTCTTTATACACCTTTAGGGTTGTTGTCTTTTGGTGGCAGGGTTTTAAGATAGAGACTGAAGTACTTATGACCATGCAGTGCAGAAGCTGATTAAGTAGAAAATACTAGAAATACGATCATTGTGAGATGAACAAACATACGCTCCTAATAGAAAAAAAAACCAACTAAATATAACGAGTTCCTATAGCAAAATAACAATGTTACATAATTATTTAAATTCAATTTGTTGTGAATTTGTTTATGAATTCGGAAACAAATTTACTACGGCTATGTTAACTCATGATACCGGTATATATAATTTCTATATACAGTCGAGACTGTCATATGTGACCTTCAAAGGGATCTTTAGAAAAAGGTCTCATATGACAGGAAGTCTCTTAATACAGTTGCAGAGTCTCTTTATACTGTCACAAAAAAAATAAAATTTTAAAGACCATCGATATACCATTGTGACTTAGTTAACATTATATAAGTGTATGAAGGAATAATATCTAAACAATTGCAATTAAACATACTAGTCGTTTAAATCAAAGCAATGCATTGGGTTCAGACAATTAGGGTCGCTTGTCACATATGACATGGGGTTGTATAATTCAGACCTTTTATATAGGGAAATATGTTGGTAGCACTGATGCAAGGTTGGATAAAACAGAGAGTCATTGAAATCAGGGGGTCACTAAGGCAGTTACTACTGTATATTATTACAAAAATTCACATGTATAATTACAGGTACAAATGGCACAATTCACATACACCGAGTCAGATTTCAACGAGAATACATGCAACTGGCAACAGACAGAATGCCAGCAGAGCAAGGTAGCATTTTGAAATTATTATTTTTGTGCCCCCACGTTATTGTGCCCCCATGTTAGTGGCGGGCATTTAGATTTACCCTTGTCCGTCCGTCCGTCCGTCCGTCCGTTCACTTTTGTGTCGCACGTAACTCAAAAAGTATTTGACCTAGAGTCATGAAACTTTACAGGAATGTTGATCAGCATGTGTAGTTGTGCACCTGGGTATTTTCGTCTGGATATTTTTAGTATTTTCAGAGTTATTGCCCTTGACTTAGTAAAATTTTGCAATTTTCAACTTGTGTCGCATGTAACTCAAAAAGTATTTGACCTAGAGTTATGAAACTTTACAGGAATGTTGATCAGCATGTGTAGTTGTGCACCTGGGTATTTTCGTCTGGATATTTTAAGTATTTTCAGAGTTATTGCCCTTGACTTAGTAAAATTTTGCAATTTTCAACTTGTGTCGCATGTAACTCAAAAAGTATTTGACCTAGAGTCATTAAACTTTACAGGAATGTTGATCAGCATGACTGTGTAGTTGTGCACCTGGGTATTTTCGTTTGGAAATTTTCATTATTTTCAGAGTTATTGCCCTTGACTTAGTAAAATTTTGCAATTTTCAACTTGTGTTGCATGTAACTCAAAAAGTATTCGACCTAGAGTCATGAAACTTTACAGGAATGTTGATCAGCATGTGTAGTTGTGCACCTGGGTATTTTCGTCTGGATATATTTAGTATTTTCAGAGTTATTGCCCTTGACTTAGTAAAATTTTGCAATTTTCAACTTGTGTCGCACGTAACTCAAAAAGTATTTGACCTAGAGTCATGAAACTTTACAGGAATCTTGATCAGCATGTGTAGTTGTGCACCTGGGTATTTTCGTCTGGATATTTTTAGTATTTTCAGAGTTATTGCCCATGACTTAGTAAAATTTTGCAATTTTCAACATGTGTAGCAGGTAACTCAAAAAGTATTTGACCTAGAGTCATGTAACTTTACAGGAATATTGATCAGCATGTGTAGTTGTGCACCTGGGTATTTTCGTCTGGATATATTTAGTATTTTCAGAGTTATTGCCCTTGACTTAGTAAAATTTTGCAATTTTCAACTTGTGTCGCACGTAACTCAAAAAGTATTTGACCTAGAGTCATGAAACTTTACAGGAATCTTGATCAGCATGTGTAGTTGTGCACCTGGGTATTTTCGTCTGGATATTTTTAGTATTTTCAGAGTTATTGCCCATGACTTAGTAAAATTTTGCAATTTTCAACATGTGTAGCAGGTAACTCAAAAAGTATTTGACCTAGAGTCATGTAACTTTACAGGAATATTGATTAGCATGTGCAGTTGTGCACCAGGTATTTTCGTCTGGATTTATTTAGTATTTTTAGAGTTATTGCCCTTCACTTAGAAAATTTTTGCAATTTTCAACTTGTGTCGCAAGTTTCTCAAAAAGGATTTGACATAGTCATTTAACCTTATAGGCAGGTTGCTCAGCATATTTTAGATTTGCACCTAGGGTTTTGCTTGTGGATTTATCCAGTATTAGTCCCCTACCGGTTTACCGGAGGGGACTTTAGGTTTACCCTCCGTCCGTCTGTCCGTCCGTCAGTCCGTCTGTCCGTCCGTCAGTCCGTCCGTCCACAAAACTGGATCCCGCAATAACCCAAAAAGTACTGAAGATATTTTAATGAAACTTGATATATGGATAGATGGCAGTATGGAGATTATGCACGTCTTTTTCTTTTCTTCCTATGTTGAAAATTCTGGTTGCTATGGCAACAAATAGACTGAAAATATGGCAAATTTTACACATAACCTGGATCCCGCGATAACGCAAAAAGTACTGAAAATATTTTTATGAAACTTGATATATGGATAGATGGCAGTATGGAGATTATGCACGTTTTTTTCTTTTCTTCCTATGTTGAAAATTCTGGTTGCTATAGCAACAAATAGACTGAAAATATGGCAAATTTTACACATAACCTGGATCCAGTGATAACACAAAAAGTACTAAAAATATGTTTATGAAACTTGACATATGGGTAGATGGCAGTATGGAAATTATGCACATTCTTTTTTATCTTCCTATGTTGAAAATTCTGGTTGCTATGGCAACAAATAGACTGAATTTCAAGGTTTCTGATTCTAGTTTTTAAGTTTTTCCACTATAAGTTCTTTATTTCTTAAGGTATTTTCTTCAAACTTTAAGTATAAGTTGCTTGTCATCAACCACATCATATGTGACAAGGTTTACAACTCTAGCACAAAATTTATCAGAATTACCTCCCTTGAACTTAAAATTTTCATGAAAAAAACATTGTTTTTTTTAATAACTTCTTTTTCTGAATGTATCTACATCAAACTTCATATAAATGTTTCTTATTGTCACTCAATTTGTGAGTGCAATACTCTAGCAAGACTATTTCCAGAATTATGCCCCTTTTGAACTTAGACTTTTTTTTGAGAAATTGGTAATTTTTACTCCAACTTCTTCAATCATGATAGGATTTTAAAATTGTTATATTTTGATAACAGGGATGTTTAAAAAATAACTTTAGAGTGTCCTGCAGTCCGTCTGTCTGTTCATAAAAACTGTTTCCTGTGATCATTTTTAAAGAACTTTTTCAACAAATTTACTTAAAATAGGAACCTAAGTGAATGGCCAATGGCCCTTCAGAATGTTGCTTGGGCTCTTACCGGTAGGGGACTTATGGATTGCTTGCAATACTATGATAATTGCTTGTTTGAAGAGTAATTTCCCTTGACTTAGTAAAAAGATTGACAGAACAGCGGCGCGGTGGGGGCACCCGTGTCCTATGGACACATTTCTAGTTATACTGAAATCTCCAGACAGTGGACAGTTTTTAATTTAAAGCAAAACAAGTCCATTACACAATTTGTGTAGGCTAAGATTGAGAAAAAAAGACCTTGTAAATTACATTTTATACAAAAAGGAAGGGAATTGCATTTACATACATGTTTACTTTATTATATAAGTAACATAGATGTAGAATTAATCAAATATTGTTTAATTACACAGTTATAATTATATACTATAGTATGAGGTCATTTATATACATAATATATATTGACTGGGGTAATTTATTGCAAATTTTTGTTTGACTCTTAAGTTGAAGAAGCAGGAATTTCATGATTTGTTAACTGTTCAACATGAGACACAATTATTTTGATGTTTTAGTTTGATGAAACCCTGCAAAGTGGCTGGGATAAAGCTGTGGAAGATGGTCACTTTAGGTACAAACTGGACATTGAAGAAACAAGAGTGATTGGTAGCAAGAAATACATAGCCCAGGTATATTTTATTCTAAATATTTTGTTTTAGTCCAACTAAAAGTATGTAATATGAGTTGAGATTCTGACATGGAACAAAACATCTCCGAATCTTTGGCTTATGGAAATATTTGCATTATATTTCTGATGTACATAAACAGCCTATTGAAGATCATCACAGAAGTAAGACTTCCATATTAAGACTGCCATATTAAGACCAATTTTTACAAAGCACAGAATTTACTGTTACTGTATGCATTTCAAACAAAGCATGATCCAGAATTAAGACCACAGCACTTGTCCATTTTAAGACAACCATTTTCAGTCCCCATTCTTTGTTTTAATCTTTTTATTTTACCCCACTATTTAGACCACTGATAATCCAGTCAAAACCTATTTAGACAAAATATACATATATTTATCTTATCTTCATATACTGATAGTAAGACAATTGATAAACAAATAAATTGTAATTAAATATATACGAGGGTTGTTCGGGAAGTTCTGAGAATTGTTTTATAGCACACGTTGTAGTTGGGTTAGCGTAAATATAAATATATACGCATTTATTTCAATATATACTGTACAGTATCTGAAAATATCATCATCATACACACAGAAACTAAAACATAATAAGAATAGTAAATAACCATATAACAAACACCCGGAGCACGCCGACGTCATTTGCAACGTTATGCGACGTTAAAGTCCATCGATCGTCGCACCTTTTCAACGTAGTCACCTGCAATTTCGATGCATTTCCTGTGTCAGCTGATCCACTTATTGTATGTTTCCACGTACCAGCTATCGGTAAAGGACGAGACTATAGCTTGCGTATGCTTAACAAGATCGTCAGCTGAGTCAAAGCGTTTTCAACGCAGCTGTGATTTGAGCTCCGGGAACACACGGAAGTCAATCAGAGCGAGGTCCGGGCTGTATGGAGGGTTTCTTCCTTCTTTAAAACGAGCATGCCATCCATACACTGTAGCCGGACTGCATTTCTTGTATTTTCCTGTAGAATTGATCATTTTCATTGTTTCTGTGGAAGACTTTTCCAGCGCAACACAAAATCTCACGATGCTTCGCAATTCAACGTCACCTATCGACATCATGTTGTTTACTCAGTGGCTCTGGGCAACAACTTTAAAACAATGTTGATCCGTTGAGAATTTAAATAACGTTATGATATTTTCAGGAAATGACGTCATGACGTTCCGCTGCTGACCAGCGTTTTCGCGCATTATTTACGTTATCAAAATTACGAAATATTATAAGTGTAGCGCGTTATACCTTTCTTTAGAGTCGGACTGCTCCGGTGCGGCGTTATAGTGTTGCTATGGTTACTGCTATTTCCGGCTATTGTTGTCTGATTCTATTCAATTTTTAGGAATAGTTCCGTGATATGCTAATCTTAGTATGTGCAAAATATTACGTCTTAGAAACAAAAAAATAAAGGAAATATGACAAAATTCCCAGAACTTCCCGAACAACCCTCGTACACAGACAATGTTTAAAACATATTAAGAGAACTACTGTAGTTTATAAAATAAAATACTCTTGTATTCACATTGGTTAATAATTATGACATAATTATGTTAATAGTTATTCCATTGTTTTTTTTTTATCTGATATAGAAGAGCAAAATAAGGTTTAAAAATTAACAGAACATTGACTAGCCCTTTCTTTGCTATATTTCAATATGATGTAGAAGGCTATAAGGGAAAACACTATAAATTGTTACCTTAATGCAGTAACGGGTTAACTCCTTATATGATTTAATAGAAGTTAACCTGTTACTGCACTATGGTCACTTTGGTGAAAAAGAAATGTCTGAAAATAATGAAGACAATTCCTTTCAAGGTGTTATTATCAGATTCTTAGTTGTTATAACCAATTTTGTTTTAGTTTAATGTGCATGTTAAATCAAGGTTAATTAACTGAAATTTAGCTCAGATCATGTTTTCTTAAAAGAAAAGTTGACTTCTACAACATAAATGCCTTTATTATGCATCAAGGCATGGTGAAAGATTAATATAATCTATGTAGCTTTTCAACTTAAATTACTATAACTCTATTAGCATAGTGTCTAATGAGATTTCAGTACAAAAATGGTATAAATGATTCAATGTACATGCTATACTTACTTGACAAAGCTTTGGAACATTTAACAGAACATTGACTAGCCCTTTCTTTGCTATATTTCAATATGATGTAGAAGGCTATAAGGGAAAACACTTAAACGCTTTTTATTACTTGGGGACCATACGCCGCTTTTCGTGGAATGGCACAGAAATGTCACATTGAAGGTTCCATGATAACCGCCGTATGAACACATCTGCGGATGTTTCTAAATTAAAAAAAATTTACTATTTCATGTTTAAATGTTGAATTCTGCTTAAGCCGGTGCTAGGGGGCGTGGACGGTAACTTGCACTTTCCAGTACCGTCCATGAACAGGCTCAATCAAACCGAGCCTGCAACATTTTCAATTTTGCGTGTTGGGCTTTCTTTAGGGATTCTGTATTTATTTGTTTTTATACCCCCAAAAACGAAGTTTTGGGGGGTATATAGGAGTCACCCGGTGGTCGGTCGGTTGGTCGGTCGGTCCAGCGGTCCGTTGCATTTTCCTTGTCCGGAGCATAACTTGAAGACTAATGGTTGGAATTCAATATAACTTCATACAATGGTCAAGCACATTAAGAGGAAGTGCAGTGCACAAGAACCATAACTCTATCTTGACTAATTACAGAGTTATTGCCCTTTGTTACTTTTCCTTGTCCGGAGCATAACTTTAAAACTACTGGTTGAAACTCAAAACAACTTCATACAATTGTCAAGCACAATAAGGGGAAGTGCAGTGCACAAAGACCATAACTCTATCTAAAGTAATAACAGAGTTATTGCCCTTTGTTATTTTTCCATTGCTTTCTTTTGTCCGGACTATAACTTGAAGACTAATAGTTGGAATTCAATATAACTTCATACAATGGTTAAGCACATTGAGAGGAAGTGCAGAGTACAAGAACCATAACTCCATTTTGACTAATTACAGAGTTACTGCCCTTTGTTACTTTTCCTTGTCCGGAGCATTACTTGAAAACTACTGGTTGGAATTCAAAACAACTTCATACAATTGTCAAGCACAATAAGGGGAAGTGCAGTGCACAAGAACCATAACTCTATCTAAAGTAATTACAGAGTTATTGCCCTTTGTTATTTTTCCATTGCTTTCTTTTGTCTGGACTCAAACTTGAAGACTAATTGTTGGAATTCAATATAACTTCATACAATGGTCAAGCACATTGAGAGGAAGAGCAGTGCATGAGAACCATAACTCCATTTTGACTAATTACAGAGTTACTGCCCTTTGTTACTTTTCCTTGTCCGGAGCATAACTTGAAAACTACTGGTTGGAATTCAAAACAACTTCATACAATGGCCAAGCACAATAAGGGGAAGTGCAGTGCACAAGAACCATAACTCCATTTTGACTTATTACAAAGTTATTGCCCTTTGTTACTTTTCGATTGCTTTTTTTTGTCCGGAGCATAACTTAAAGACTACTAGTTGGAATTCAATATGACTTCATACAATGGTCAAGCTCATTGAGAGGAAGTGCAGTGCATGAGAACCATAACTCCATCTTGACTAATGACAGAGTTATTGCCCTTTGTTACTTTTCCTTGTCTGGAGCATAACTTGAAAACTACGGGTTGGAATTCAATACAACTTCATGCAGTTGTCAAGCACATTAAGAGGAAATGCAGTGCACAAGAATTATAACTCCATTTTGACAAATTACAGAGTTATTGCCCTTTGATACTTTTCCTTGTCTGGAGCATAACTTAAAACATACTGGTTGGAATTTAAAACAACGTCATACAATGGTCAAGCACAATAAGAGAAAGTGCAGTGCACAAGAACCATAACTCCATTTTGACTAATTACAGAGTTACTGCCCTTTGTTACTTTTCCTTGTCCAGAGCATAACTTGAAAACTACTAGTTGGAATTCAAAACTATTTCATACTATGGTCAAGTATATTGAGAGGAAGTGCAGTGCACAGAAAGCTTAACTCTTTTTTGACTAATTTAAAAGTTTTTGCCCTTTGTTACTTTTTATTGTCCAGTGCATAACTTGAAAATTAATGGTTGGAATTCAATGAAACTTTATACAATGGTCAAGGGCAGTGAGATGAAGTGCAGTGCACAAGAACAATAACTCTATTTGGACTAATTACAGTTATTGCTTTTGTTACTTTTTTGTCCAGTGCATAACTTGAAAACTAGTAGTTGGAATTCAATACAACTTCATACAATGGTCAAGTGCAATGAGAGGAAGTGCAGTGTACTTCAATCTTCAGTATTTATAGAGTTATTGCCCTTTGTTCCTTTTCCTTTTCTTTCTGGACTTCTTACAGAGTAATCCAATAAAACTTCATCAATGGCCAACCACATTGAAAGGAAATGCAACATACAAGAACCACAACTATCTTTAATTGCCCACAACCATAACTCTATATTTCAATTCTTATACAAGGTATTCTGTTACTAGTAACATCCTCATTTCCGAAGCAGTCTTGCGGGGGGGTATTAATCACATTTAGTGATAGTTCTAGTTTGGAATGTTATTTTAAAATATTTTTACCTGATATATACATGTATAAGGTTACTGAAAGAGTTCATGATTTAATTATATTTTTCAGTTAAATGTAAAGCGAGCTCAGGAGAGGAGGAAACCAGACGTGATTGAATCAGTAAATCAACCATTTAATCCAGCATCTTTTAATTTCTTAAAAATCAAACCCCAAGAAATCCTTCTAGAACTTGTAAAAGAAGAAGATGATTCAAGGCCGAACAATCAGGTTAACCAGACACAGGAAAATGGTACTGATAAACAAGAAGTTAAGGTATCAAATTGGGGTTCTTAGATCACATTTTAAAAATCTTAATTGTCATTTGCTGAATTTCTTAAATGAACGTGTTCAGTTTCAATTGTTGGATAAGTCCATCAATAATTTTATCAAAATAATAAAATTTGAAGGTCAGCCAACAGTATAGAGCCTGGTTAGACTTCACAGAAGTTCAGGCTCACCTGGCACTGTACTGGTGACAAAGGCTAATTTATTTGTTCAAAATATTGTAAAATGCTGCATTGCTATTGTCATAAAAAACATAGAAATATTAATCTTTTTAGGTGAAATGGTTTAACCATTCTTTCTGTGTTTGGGTGTACATCCAGTTTTCTTTGTCATACAATTACTTGAGAATGAATAAGCATTGGTTCCAGTAAATTTTGTGAATTTATTTTTTGAAAGGTATATTTGCTGTTAAATGTTTCAGATATTTTCCTTCCATTGACTTATTATTGACTAAATATTTACTTATTGTTGTGTGTTGAATCCTGCTAATGACATTATAACAGGAAACAATTCAGTTAGTGCATTCAAGGTTGTTGATTCTACATATTAAATCACTTTAGTGCAATAACTGGTTAACTCCTATTAAATTTAGAAGGACTTAACCTGTTACAACACTAAGGTGACAATGAAAACAAAGTGATGCATATTGTTGCACATCAAGTGTTCATGCTTTGAGAAAGCTGGAAAATTCCCCATTATACTTTTACAATAGTTCTGTGACATAAACCCATAACACAAAGAGGAAACAGTAAGGTAGATAAAGTAGTACATAATATGAAGTTACAAAAATTAAAAGTTATAAAATGTTTTGTTTTTTACAGAAGAGAAATTTGGTAGTTATAAATGTAAGCCCCCTGGAGTATGGACATGTTCTGCTGGTTCCCGACATAGATGCTTGTCAGCCACAGGTAAATTAATTGAGCCGTGCCATGACAAAACCAATATAATGCGTTATCGACCACCATGGATCCAGACCAGCCTGCGCATCTGCGCAGTCTGATCAGGATCCATACTGTTCACTTAAAACCCTATAACAAGTAGAGAAACTGATAGGGAACAGCATGGATCCATGCTGGTCACAAACCAATTATTTGGTTTTGTCATGGTGCGGCTCATTTTATGTTTTAAGCTGCACACCTCCAGATATGAGCCAAAATATATCAAGAAATTAATTCTTTACAAAAATGTATTAAGATCTTAAGAAAAGTAAAATTATTCAATATTTAATTAATTAATTACATGTTATGTGCGATTAATGACTGATTTTGCAGTATCAATCACTAAAATTCTACTGTGTTACTAACACAGTAATATGCATATTTTTACCTTGTTTTGGTTATTGACGTGGATTGTTAGTGCCGTCTGCAATGTGTAAATTACTTTCTTTGTTCACTTTACAATATTTTACTTTTTTAAATACATTTTCAAAATTTTCATGAAAATTCGCATGAAACTTGAGGCATGCTGCTTTAAAATTGAAAATTTCCTTTTAATAGAAATTGAATTACATTGTCAATGTTTCCTTCCAAATTTACTTAACTATCTCGTCACAAGTTCAATATTTTATCCATTTTAGTATAATAATGTTTTGATCACATGCATCCAAATTCTTTCTGTTAAACAATGTGATATTTATTTTAGGCTTTTTTCCCTAAAGAAATAAACATATAGGATTTTTTTTGTATGAAAAAAATGGTAAAATGTGTTTTGACAGATTATTTGATGTAGGAATATTTTACAGATTATAATGAAAGTATTAACTCATGGATTGTTTTGAACTCTACTTGTTTATGTTTTTTGTTTGTTTTTTTCACAGGTATTAACAGAATCTTCAATGAGGGTATCCTTAGAGATGATGCTGCTGAGTAAACACAGGTAAAAAATGATAAAACTTACCTGTAATACTTCAGATTATATCATGTGAGAAAGTGATGCAGCTAGTGTACAATACAGAATATTGTTGGCCCTACTCACATGGCTGCTCTTGCCTGAAATAATAAACTTAGAGACATCTGAGGTCTTTCTCTACCAGTAGAGCTTGAAAGTTGTCATAAAACCTGTAAATTTTCAGTAAGTCTTAAATCTCCAAACCTAGTTTAATATCACTCTAAGGCTAGATATATTAGGGTAAGGTACAATATATGGGAAGAAAAGTGTTAGAATCTTAATGGAGTCTTGTAAGAACTGTAATTTGATTTGTTTACTAGACTAGCTTTACATATACATGTATATATGGTAAATAGCATAATTGACACATGTTTTCTTGGACCTTCAAATATACATGTTGGTTTTTAGCTCACCTGTCACAAAGTGACAGGGTGAGCTTTTGTGATCGCTTTTCGTCCGGCGTCCGTCCGTCCGTCCGTCGTCCGTCCGTCCGTAAACTTTTGCTTTAAATGACATCTCCTCATAAACCACTGAGCCAATTTCATCCAAACTTCACAGGAATGTTCCTTTGGTGGTCACCTTTAAAAATTGTTCAAAGAATTTAATTCCATGCAGAACTCTGGTTGCCATGGCAACCAAAAGAAAAACTTTAAATATCTTCTTTTAAAAAACCATAAGAGCTAGAGCTTAGATATATGGCATGAAACATCTTCTAGTGAGTGTCTACCAATTTTGTTCAAATTAAAGCCCTGGGGTCAAAATTGGCCCCGCCCCTGGGGGTCATTGATTTTCCCTATATGCATATAGTAAAAACTTAAAAAATCTTCTTTCAAAGAACCGTAAGAGCTAGAGCTTAGATATTTGGCATGAAACATCTTCTAGTGAGTGTTTACCAAGTTTGTTCAAATTAAAGCCCTGGGGTCAAAATTGGCCCCGCCCCGGGGGTCATTGATTTTCCCTATATGCATATAGTAAAAACTTAAAAAATCTTCTTTTAAAGAACCATAAGAGCTAGAGCTTAGATATTTGGCATGAAACATCTTCTAGTGAATGTCTACTAAGTTTGTTCAAAAAAAAGCCCTGGGGTAAAAATTGACCCCGCCCCAGGGGGTCATAGATTTTCCCTATATGCATAATTAGTAAAAACTTAAAAAATCTTCTTTTAAAGAACTCAAAGAGCTAGAGCTAAGATATTTAGCATGAAACATGTTCTAATGGGTGTCTACCAAGTTTGTTCAAATAAAAGCCCTGGGGTCAAAACTGGCCCCGCCCCGGGGGGTCATTGATTTTCCCTATATGCATATAGTAAAAACTTAAAAAATCTTCTTTTAAAGAACTCAAAGAGCTATGGCTAAGATATTGAGCATCAAACATGTTCTAATAGGTGTCTACCAAGTTTGTTCAAATACAAGCCCAGGGGTGAAAATTTGCCCCGCCCCGGGGGTCATTGATTTTCTTTATATGTGTTTAGCAAAAACTCTAAATCTTCTTTGAAAAAACCCAAATAGCTAGAGTTTAGATATTAAGCATGAAACATCTTTAAGTAAATATCTACAAAGTTTGTTAACATAAACGCCCGGGGGTCAAAACTGGCCCTGCCCCAGGGGTGACATTGTTTTTAACTATATGTGTATAGTAAAAACTTTAAAAATCTTCTTTTAAAAATGCCAATGAGCTAGAACTTAGATGTTTAGCATGAAACATCTTCTTATGGGTGTCTACCAAGTCTGTTCAAATAAACAAATAAAAGCCCTTGGGTAAAAATTGGCCCAGGGGTGGGGGGCCTATATACAGGTGAGCGACCTCAGGGCCATCATGGCCCTCTTGTTTATACATCACAGCTATTTTTGCACAGTGAAAATTTAATTTTGAAGTCATGGACGAAAAAACATCACAATATCTTTTCTGTTACTTACTTTTGCTAAGTGTGTTGGTGTAATGCCTATAATTATGATTTTCTTTTTTAATATAACTAAATAAGTTTGTTTAATTTATTTTCAGAGGATTTAGGATAGGTTTCAACAGTTTATGTGCATTTGCCTCAGTAAATCATGCTCATCTACATGCTTATTACCTAGATAGGGAACTTTTTGTAGAATCTGTAGTAAGTATATTTTGGTACATTGTATTATACATTAGGCCTACTTAAAATTTTATAAATTTTACTTTGTGGCAATCTATTTTCGTCGTTTGTCTCTCATCATGTTTTAGAACTCATGTTGGATTAGAAGTAAGTCAAATTCAGGGAAATTCTTGTTGCTGGTTAGTTATCCAGGAAAGCTGGTTAGGTGCATGGACTGCCAAGATATAACCAAAATTGTGTTTAAATGTTCAAATTAGCATAAAAAACAGGGGGAACAAAAGGACAGTACATGTACTTGGTATATCCTAGTGCTTTGAAAAAAAGAAGAGAAAATACTATTTTCTCTTCTTTTTTTCAAAGCACTAGGATATACCAAGTACATGTACTGTAAGTAACTTTATTTTGAAAGTTTAAATCAAGGATTATCATAAGCAAAAGACTATTGGTTTTCTTGTTTGAAGGAAAAATATTGAATATTAAAAATATTATTAATAAATAATGATTTTTTTTGTACATGTATGGATTATTTCAAGTTCAATGAAGTTCAAATCAATTGCACAAATTCAGCAGGTTAAGGGTTAAACTTTGGTACCAGTAATCAAATGTTAAATATATGTGCATGGGATATATAAAATATTTTATTTTGTCACTATAGAGCATATTGAACATTTTTTTACAGCCAGTAAAGCATATATGTGGAGACTTATATGAACTAGATGCTATGCCAGCTAAAGGATTTGCTTTTCAACTACATAAGACTGGAGTAGACAAATTATCAAAGTAAGAATCTAACCTGTTTCTTTCAATTGCACATTATTCAGATGGGGTTATAGCTGAGTTAATGGTTTAAAGTTTATACTGCAAACTGCAGTATGTGTTTTGATCCTTAGGTGCACTTAAATTCAAAGAAACTTGAAGAAAAAAAATTGAAAAAAGAAACAACTTGAAAAATAATGAAACCCTATTTTATTTATGTACAGCTGCATTCTTTTACAACTTACAACATTTTTATTTCGTAAATTATCTGTAAAAAAATTTTTTGAATATTTAAGTATTCTTACAAGGAGGAATATACCTTATGTTACTTTGTAAAGTAAGAATGTAATAACGATCATCATATTTCATTAATAAAGAAAGTAGATATTTTTCTGTAAGAAAATACTGTAGTTTTAGAAAAATAAAGCCTGTAATTATTAATTTCGAAATTGTCATACGTCATAAAGTATTGCAAACACATTTATTTATTTAATTGGTTAAATAATAATAATTAGTTTCCGGCAATGAAACATTTTTTTGGCATTAAAAAATTAAAAAGAAATTGACAATATTAATCATTTGTATAAATAAGGAATATATTTTTGGTGATTTTCAGGATTATATTCCATATAGCAGATTACTTCCAGAAACATGAAGTTGCACATAATATGTACATGATTCGAGGCCCGGTTTTTAATGAGGATCAACATAGTACTAATAGAACTATACGTGTTTATTTGTGGCCAAGGAAGAAGTTTATAGGTAGCATGTGTATGTGTTTTGCATATATAGCATGACTGATCCTTATTCTTTATTTATATGTTGTTTTATAACTTTTCAAAAAATATATTTTAGATAAATTTGTTTGCTTTTGATGTTTTCCCTGCTATCTCTTTTATTGGCATTACACTAGAATTTGAAAAGCACATTATATTTGTAAAGTCTGCTTTTTAACTCGGAGTTAAATGTTTAATGGAATGAACATATTTTGTTTCAAGCCAACTCTTATTGGCATTCCATTAGCATTATAACATTAAATTATCAATTTTGATGATAAATAAAAAGGCAGGGCCTGGATTGATAAAAAAGTTTAGTACAGCTATGATAGTATCTGTTCTCTTTTTATCGTTATTTAACATACTGAATATATGGGGGCGTCTATACTGTTATGGAGTGGTTAAGGTCACTGACTTCAAACCACTTGCTTCTCACCAATGTATGTTAGTATCCCGACAGGGACTTTAAATTCTTTCATGTGACAGTGAGGAATTTATCCATCTAGCTTTTGGAATGTCTATGGTTCTACTCAGGTGCCCGTTCGTGCCTTGAATAATGCAGGGAATGGCACCTGAGACCTTCCTCCACCAGTAAAGCTGGAAAGTTGCCATATGACATATACTGTGTTGGTGCAACATAAAACTACAAACAAAAAAACACAAAATAAAATATTGCTACATTATCTTCATCTTATTCTTTCACATGTTAACATATATTTATATTTTTATAATATTTCAGGGTTAAAAGATGAAGAAGCTTTCAACGTAGCATTAGTGGAGCTGGCAGGACATTTACCTGTTAAAGGTATGGTATATAACTTAAGTTTATTGTTATCTTATTTTGTGCAACTCTTGACATAAAACACCATGATTTTCTATCATTGATATCATATTATGAGAGTGTTTGTTTTTAATGTAATATAATCTGTATGGATTTCTTTATCTTACACATGTTTAATATGGATATGTTATTTTAGGATAAACTTGATCTCGAACTTAAACTTAACTTGATTTTACTAGGATCTCAGGTGGCACAGTAACCCATTGTGATCTGTTCTTCTCAATGAGAATAAAATACAATTCTACATTAAGTGTTTAAAAATATGTACTGGCATATGAGAAAAAAATATGTAAAATAAGTCAAGTTTTTGTTGTTTCATATACATGTATTATACTAACTAAACAAGTTCAAGATACTTATGTTCATTTTCCCTTTTCATCAAAATAGATCAGTCTTTAGTTTAAGTTGGAAAAAAAAAGATTCCTATTTTTTATTAGCATCTAGGATTTTGCTTTCAACTAAGTTGCATTGTTTAAGCAAAGCATGTATCATTTAAAAGCTGCTGTTTATTTTCAGTTAAAGAAATGTTTTATGACTTGGATGAAGAAAAGATAGAGTCAACTATACGAGATGCAGCTCTAGAAGACAGTGAATATAACAGTATCAAACAGGATGTTTCCAACATATGTCAGTCATTTATAAGTTGATGACAACCCCTATTTCTAGCAAATATCTGTTATTGTGATACTGGATAGACCATTATAAGATCTGTATTTTATTTAAACACAATTATATTGCATTGTATAGTATGAATTATTTATTGAACCAAACTTAAATGTTACACAGTTGTGATGGAAGTAGGTGGGATGTGGAACTTGTATGGAATGGAAGTTTTACTGATGTGATAATGTCTGCAGGTGCAATTTTATTTCACTTTTTTTAAGAAAATGAATTATTACAATTTTTACAGAAATTAACTACACTCATAATGGAATATATGTATTATTGTGCAATTTATCATATATTTTGCTGCAGAATAGGCTTTTTTGATTTTTAAAAAGAAAAAGAATATGATGTGCTTTTATTATATATTAAAATCTTAGATAGCTGAGATACTGCCTGAAAAAGGAGAATCACTTAAAGTGCTTCCAGCATAAATGTAAATTTAAAATAACTGTATTTATTACATGCTTTTCGGTGGTTTATAGAAATATATCGGTGAAATAAAACTGGTAATTTCACTGTTTGAAACAGTGAAATTACCACTTTGATAATTTCACTGTTTTGAATTTAAGCCCCTTACGTTGTTTCAGTGAAATACCAGCGTTCACAGTACTGGGTACCAACTTAATGACGTGACGTCGTAAATGACGTCACGTTGTATTATTATTTGGCGCGCTTTTCATTCAGTATTTGGTTTAATGTCTTTTTAAAACGTTTCTTTGCATATAATAAAAAGAAAATTTGTTTAGTTCAGTGTAAGATCGGAATATATTTCACCTTGTGAACACCAAAAGTCCATATTTCACTCGTGGCTGCGCCACTCGTGAAATATACCTTTTGGTGCTCACTCGGTGAAATATATTCCGATCTTACACTGAACTAAACAAATATCCTCTATTTATTTACTTGATTTCCTAGAAACGTCTTATTTATATAAGTATATTTTGTTTGTCATGTTTTGTGGTCTTCCATTGTTACTCAAAGAATCTCAGAATATTTTAATCCTCAAGTGTTAGTACATTTTGACGAATTTAAAATTACACAACATTCTGGTACAGTAGAACAATATACAGTCATAATTATATTTAAGAAATAATATATCCCAAACAGTGATTTTATCGCTCAATAACATCACTGTTTGGAGTTCGGATGCGAGGAATTATATCACGAGGGCGTAACAGTGGTGTTATCAAGCGATAAAATCACTGATTTGGATATATTATTTCGATTCTAACACGACATTAACAAATAAATGTTGCGGTACTTGATAGTTAAGCAAAATTGCGCCTGATTTGTTTCCAAACTTATTTTCAGCGCGTCGGATTTTTAGTGGTTACGTCACGTGTATAATGATTACGTCACATGTCTAAATATAGAACGTCAAACTGTGCATCTGTTGCATAATAACACACACTTTCTGTTCTTCTATGTTCAATAGGGCAAAAATGCGGGTCGTGTTAGAATTCTCAGTAGAATGTTGTTAACAGTTAAATATATTTACTTTGATTCTCTATCACTATCAACTTTATTGGCTAGAATGGAACTAAATTTCAATTTTTAGAGCATTTTGATTATTTTATCATCTATTCAATGTATTTAAAGATACAATGTATGTTTCTGTCATAACGTAAACCAAATGTTGAGTTTAAATACCTCAATAGTGTTTTTGATAGCTAATTATGGCACTGCATGATAAACTTGAATTTTATTTTCATTTGGGAAATAGGAACAGTATAATAGTTATGTTAAAACAGTGACTTATCAATAACATGTATGTCAAGAAAATGTTGAAACAATTATCATTTTTTTACTCAGGGAGTAAAATTATTTTAAAGGGTGTTTAAAGTGTATAAAGTTAGATCTAATTAAATTTTATCATAAAATTGAAAAACAGTAAAATAATGTTATCATAATCTTATGTTAGTTATCAAAAGAGATGTAACATATAATGTTTCTGTTAATTAACAGTCCTGAATACTGTATTAAACAGAATCATGAATGAAATGTTCTGGAACAAAATATTATTATGCGATTTTAATGAGGGTTTACACTGTTTATTAATGATTATATACATGTGCCATTTGCTCATTTGAAAAAAATATCAACATACTTTTCATACAGGTATTTTGAAACTAATCTTTTACAAAAATCCTGTAAACTGAAGACAGCACAGATAAAGCTTTATACACTTAAAATTTGTCATAGTTTCTGGTAAAAATGCCATATTAATTATTTTGTATTTATCTGTACATGGTGTTATTTATTATGATAGTGGGTCCAATCTTGTTTCATACACTGCTTTTTAAGTATAGGACAAAAAATTACCAAACCTTACTCTTTGTATGGTGGGATAGCATGTTTTGCACCTTTGTTTTATATTCAAACAGAATCACCAACCAGTGTCATATTGTATTGCACCATATAGGCTCTTACATTGTCAAAATGTTAAAAAAAAATCTTTAAAAAATCCAAAAGAAGTACTGGTTCCAGTTAAATGTTTAATATGAGACAAATTATTGTCTGGTGACTTTATTTACATTATAAACTTTGAAGACAAATGAGGCCCTTTGACATTGGGTGTTAAAATGACTCCACTGAATCTTTTTGACATGACTGGACTGGAATAGTTTGTTTTTAGCTCGACTTTTCTATGAAAAGGGGAGCTATCCTACTCGCCCCGGCGTCGGCGTCGGCGTTAGCGTTAGCGTCGGCGTTGGCGTCACACCTTGGTTAAGTTTTTCGTACCACCCCACTTTATTTCAGAAGTATTACAAGTATGGCTTTGAAACTTACCATACTTGTTCACCATCATAACCTCCATCTACAGACAAGAGTACATAACTCTGTCAAGGTTTTTGACAGAATTATGGCCCTTTTTTGACTTAGAAAGTGTATTGAGCTTGGTTAAGTTTTTTGTACCACCTCACTTTATTTCAAAACCATTGGAGGTATTGCTTTGAAACTGACCATACTTGTTTACCATCACGACCTTCATCAACAGACAAGAGGACATAACTCTGTCAAGGTTTTTGACAGAATTATGCCCCTTTTTGACTTAGAAAATACATTGAATATGGGTAAAATCCACTTATTGCCTTAACCCTTTGAGATATTGCTTTGAAACTTTTAATGCTATTTCACATCATTACCCCATCTGTACGCAAGAGAAGGTAACTCTGTCAAGGATTTGTTTTAAAAATTAAGGCCTTTTATCGACTTAGAATCTTGGTTAAGTTTTTAGTACCAGTCCACTTTTTGACTGAACTGTTTGAGATATTAATTTGAAAAGTTGGAAATACTTGTTTACCATCATGGTCCCAAAACATGGGCAGGAGAAGGTAATTCTGTTAAGGATTTTATTTGAATTATGGCCCTTTTTGACTTAGAAACTCAGTTAAGATTTTTCATTCTTGTCCACTTGTTGACTTAACCATTTGAGATATTACTTTGGAAGTTGGAGTTCTTATGTGCCATCATGAGACCTATCTGTAAGCAAGAGAAGATAACTCTGTGAAAATGTTTCTTGATTTGTACTTAGAAATTCCTAGTTAAAGTCTTGTGTGCCCTTAACTGTCAAAGTTTTGTTTTATAGGCAAGCACTAAAAAAGTCGAGCGCGCTGTCCTTCTGACAGCTCTTGTTTTAGATTTTTATACCTTTAATGCGGGTCTGTACCAATAACTTTTGTGAAAAATTTCTGTTCATCCGTTGTTCCTGAATTATCATTTTAGTGTGCATAATGACTGAGAAATGGCAATGTTTTTAGCACAAACCAGGCCATCTTTTTTTTCCATATTAAATGTCCCAATTGATCTATATGTCAAAGATGATGTTTATGAAAAGTAGTTTTTTTTACCTATTTTTGTTATTAATTAAACTACAGATCTTGCTTGAATGTTGCTTGGCAACAGAAACTACATGTATCCAATGAAAATACTATATTGACAATGTAAGCAACATTTAAATGATAAATTTTCCGTAGTGTAGAGTACATGGGTTTAAGCAGTTTTGAGAATAAACATTGGGCTGAAGGCCATTTAAAGGTATACATGTGAATTGATAAATTTCACTATGCAAATAAAAACATAGATATTTTGTGCCATGTTAGCAATATGTCCTTTGCAAAATCAATACTTGCAAAATAACATCTTTGTTTAACAAGATAAATGGCTCCTTTTAAAATTCCATTTTAAAATGATGTTCTCTACATATCATTTTAGCCCATTATGTTTAAGATCAGTCTGTATGTACCACCTTTTTTCGGTCAGTATGTAGTCTTAGTAAGAACACTTATTGTTATTAACTCACCAATTTGTGCCGAGATAATGTAATTTCATCGCTGTTAAATTTGTCATTATACCCCCAAAAACGAAGTTTGGGGGGGTATATAGGAGTCACCCGGTGGTCGGTCGGTCGGTCCAGACGTCCGTTGCATTTTCCTTGTCCGGAGCATAACTTGAAGACTAATGGTTGGAATTCAATATAACTACATACAATGGTCAAGCACATTGAGAGGAAGTGCAGTGCACAAGAACCATAATTCTATCTTGACTAATTACAGAGTTATTGCCCTTTGTTACTTTTCCTTGTCCGGGGCATAACTTGAAAACTACTGATTGGAATTAAAAACAACTTCATACAATTGTCAAACACAATAAGGGGAAGTGCAGTGCACAAGAACCATAACTCTGTCTAAAGTAATTACAGAGTTATTGCCCTTTGTTACTTTTCCATTGCTTTCTTTTGTCCGGACCATAACTTGAAGACTAATTGTTGGAATTCATTATAACTTCATACAATGGTCGAGCATATTGAGAGAAGTGCAGTGCTCAAGAACCATAACTCCATCATGACTTATTACAGAGTTACTGCCCTTTGTTACTTTTCCTTGTCCAGAGCATGACATGAAAACTACTGGTTGGAATTCAAAACAACTTCATACAATGGTCAAGCACAATAAGGGGAAGTGCAGTGCACAAGAAACCATAACTCCATCTTGACTAATTACAGAGTTATTGCCCTTTTGTTACTTCTCCCATTGCTTTTTTTGTCCGGAGCATAACTTGAAGACTAATGGTTGGAATTCAATATAAACTTCATACAATGGTCAAGCACATTGAGAGGAAGTGCAGTGCACAAGAACCATAACTCCATCTTGACTAATTACAGAGTTATTGCCCTTTGTTTACTTTTCCTTGTCCAGAGCATAACTTGAAAACTACTGTTTGGAATTCAATACAACTTCATACAGTTTGTCAAGGACATTAAAAGGAAGTGCAGTGCACAAGAGCCATAACTCCATTTTTACAAAATACAGAGTAACTGCCCTTTGATACTTTCCTTGTCCGGAGCATAACTTAAAACGTACTGGTTTGGAATTCCAAAACAACTTCATACAATGGTCAAGCACAATAAAAGGAAGTGCAGTGCACAAGAACTATAACTCCATCTCAGTATTTATAGAGTTATTGCCTTGTGTTCCTTTTCCTTGTCTTTCTGGACTTATTACAGAGTAATTCAATAAAACTTCATCAATAGCCAACCACATTGAAAGGAAATGCAACATACAAGGACCACAACTATCTTTAATTGCCCACAACCATAACTCTATATTTCAACTCTTTTACAAGGTATTCTGTTACTAGTAACATCCTCATTTCCGAAGCAGTCTTGTGGGGGTATTAATCACATTTAGTGATAGTTCTAGTTACATTTCATGTGAGGTAACACTGCAAAGAGTGGAAGTCAATTCTATATCCCATTTTTATCAATGTCAAGCAGGTAC